TTCCTAATTTCTTTAAAATTCCAGGAAGAGAAGCAGGCATTGTATGACTCAGCCACACCGCCTCAATGACTACACTGAGTTACACCTGTTTACCTTTATAATCGGGGTACGCGGTAGCGTAGTTGGCTGTGGTACTATGCTAAGCCTGAAGGTCGGGGTTTCGATTCCCGATGAGGTCACTCGGTTTTTCAAGTGACCTAATCTTTCCAACGGCACTATGGGCCTGGGGTCGACTCAGCCTCTAACAGAAACGAGTACCAAAGATCTTCCTGGGGGGTAAAGGGCGGTCGGAGCATAAGGCTCACAATCTCACCGCCATCTATGAGCAGATTATCTAGAAAATTTTGAACCGTCGACGTCTCACAAATCTACGGGCCTCCACGGCCTGTTACAGGGATAGCTTCACATTTTACCTTTTTACCCTCATAATGGAAAATCTGCCGTTTAGCAGACAGAGCCACCCGGATCGTACAGAAATAAATACGACAAACATGAAAAGTTACGTGCACCTCATATGCGTATCTTTATTTGGTGGGTTATTTTACAACGTTGTGTCTAGACTACATAGCGTAGAATGTTATGACTGGTGAGCAACTAAATAGGCAAAATTAAATAAAACAATTATGGCTTAATCGTAGTACAATCTCAGTACGAACAGCCGATCACCCGGCCGAGATTCGAATAAAGCACCTAAGAATACAAGTCTAGACAGCTATATCGGCACCCTCAACCATAAGTGTGCTTGTTTGATACTCTAAAACAATAGGAAAGAAATAAATTCAGGTAGAGTTTCATATAGATTGGCCTATTCGTGAAAATTATTTGGTTCCCATCCCTGGAATTAAAATCCGAATGATTCAGTCGATGTTTTCATACTTGCATCGGAAATACATGTAGTATTTCAACAGTGCCCGCCCGTAGATGCATGTTCAGACACGAAGAGTCAAGCCAGTGACGTGACAACCAAGACTTTTCTCTCACTCCTCCCCACTGCGCGGGCAGTTCCTTGTGCAGTGGAAATGTTGTTTACAGTCTCAGAGCGTTGTGACTTCAAGAACTTGCTGCCAGTGGCCTTTCTCTGTGTAAATTAAACTTACGTGCCGGCTGATTGCAATTCCGAACCCATAATTACTGCATTAACTACTCAAACAGTCGCATTGCTTCTTGTGTCAACATGCCGTGCGACACACTGGAGCAACGAATGTTCATACAGAATGTCTTAGGTGAAAATGAGTTTTTGTAAGAAATGTAAGGTAAAGTTTTATCAAACGTAAATAAATTAAAATTACAGGACAGAAGGGACCGAACAACACACCCTAAAATTGGGTGAAGACAAATTTGATGAAATCGGTGCTAGAATTAAGCAGTCGTCCCTAAAATCCTTTAGGGCGAGGGCACACCAATGAAACGCAGCCGCAACGCAACGGCAATTTCTGAGAAATGTCGCCCATTTCAAGCATGTGACTGGTTTCCAGATTAGGAGGCGCACACTGAGGAAACTTATGTTTGATTAGTTACTCACATCACCTTAGGCGGGTATGTTCGCCCGGCGTAATGCATGCAGTTACTAATACAATGGAAGATAACAATACTGAATCTGTGGTGGCAGTTGAGATGGTGTGAGAACGGAGGACGACGACCATAAGGAAAATATTGGGACGTAAATTAATTTGTTTTGCTGGTCACGGTAGCCGGTAGCCGGTAGCCGGTAGCCGAGCGGTCTAAGGCATGCACTGTCTTCGCTCGCTTGGATCGTGGGTTCGAATCCCACTCAGGGCATGGATGTTTAGTTTGTGTGTGTGCGTTTTTCTGTGTTTGTGTACAGGTAGAGGCCTTGCGACGAGCTGATCACCCGCCCAAGGAGTCCTACCGAATGTGTAAGATCTAGAAAACCCGAAGTGAACGGAGAAGTTCATGGAGGTAGGCCTAGGCTCATTGGGGCTGTAGAGCCAAGGGGGGGGGGAAGAAGACACCTGATTATAGCCTTATATAGGCGAACCATGTAATGCGGTAGAAGGGTTACTATATAAGAAGTTGCATTTAAGACGGAAATATATGTGAAATAAATGATGTTAATGCATCAGGATGCTTAAATACAACAAAACAAATAGAAGCCGCCATAGTGCAGCTGGAAGGATTAGGTCAATTAAAAAAAAATCCACCTCATCGGGACTCGAACCTGGAACCTTCCGGTTTGTAGCATAGTTCCGCAACCAACTACGTTACCTTGTGCCCAGTGGGTAGGACTTCTTGGAAGGGAGATCAGCCCGTCGCAAGGCCGCTATATATACACAGAACAACAAAAACACAGAATAAACGGACACAGACACCCATACCTTGAGTGGGATTCGAACCCACGATCCCGGCTTTCGAGCGAGCGAAGAGAGCTCATGCCTTAGACCTCGCGGCTACTGTGATCGGCAAGGAGATTTACTGTACAACCCCCCCCAAAAAAAAGTTGACAGCAACGTATGTAACAATCAGCACAGTTCCAGTATAAGCACTTGAAGAAAACTCTTGACAATATATGAACAATGAAAATCAGTAAGAAATATGTCCATTAAATGTACGTGTTAAAAAATTAAACTTGAACTGAAAAAGGTTCGCACATCTTAATACAATTACACGAACAATCCAGCTACTGCTAGCAGCGTAATAGTTGGCAGTATTACGTCACTGACACGAACCAGGTCTTGCACAAACTAATTAACTTGCGAGAATGACTCACTAATAAAGGTAGATAAAATTTGGACACAGCTAGTGCCAGAAAATTCGTTTGTCACAAAACAAACCTTTATACAGAGCCGTTCCTGCGGAACAGCACGACTGACCCAGGTCCGCCACACATTGCCTAACCTTACATGTTTACACAGCTTCCATGTTCCTAGCAAAACTGGCTCAAGGTACACTACAACCTGCGTTCCATAGCCTCCATACTCAGAAAGAAATTTTCATCAAGGTTCGCAACAACACGAGCTGCATAATCTGCGTGCTACTTGTAGCGGTTTAAATCAGAAAAAGTTACTTGGAGGCACTGGTGGAGATAACTTCGCCATATGCATGAAAAACAACTGAGCGTGCTCAATAACAAATAAATAACATACCGTGCGTACAGAAGGAACTCAGTAAGCATTTCGGCATCACAGCTAGTTCGTTCTAGACTTTACGCTGACTCAAAAGAAGCACATTGGTTTCGAAAATTAACAGTCTTGCCTTCCCATCTTATCAGCACAACAACGGCTGTCTGTCTGTCCCTAGTCGCGGCAACTAGCGATGGCCAAGAAATAACATAATTTCCAGTGCAACACTGCATCACGCGCCATCATAAACTAACAGAACAAATGTAACTTAGCAGTACAATTCGATTCTCGTCCAAATAAAGAAGCCGAACAGCAGTACAATTCGATTCTCGTCCAAATAAAGAAGCCGAACAACACTTTGCACCAGACGGTATGCTCGGTCGCAGAAATGACACAAGGATGGGAGTGGTGAGTGGGAACACGTGACTTAACATCATGGACATCATTGGTGATGGAAAATAGGGGAGATGACGTCATACGAGACGACCCGAATGAGAGCCGATAATGAGGAGAGCGGCTCAATTCACGGCTACCAAACTTTGATAATATTCTCTAAGGGCAGAATAAATGTTACAGGCAGTCCTCTCAGGTATACCACAGTCTAAAGCTTCATAAATTTTGTTTTGTGCACAGTCCTAAACACGCTTTATTCCGTGTATTTCACATTTCTCGCCTGCTGTAAGAGATATTTCGGCCAGGGGCTTTTGGGCTGCAAACTACGAGACAGAAAGATTCGGCCGTACACCAGTCACACGTATCCCCATACACATGACAATAAAAAATTCTCCTATTCTGCTTATATTTTGTCTGTCAAAATACTTACTGTATTTAATCTAGCACTGAGTTCTGCTGTACTTTTTACTGCAAACAATTTCAAATTTTCCTTTCTGTACATGAACATGTCTCAAAGCCAGGACATCTTAATAAGTGTAGTGACTAGGCTAGGGGCTAGATGATCAGCACATAGTTGATGTTTTTCTTCTCTGTAGCACACAGACTATCTTTAAGGCCCTTGCACCAAGCCTCCTAGCTGGTAGGTACCAGGAACTCTTTCCCCAGGAACAAAGCAGTCGAGACATGAAGCTAACCACTCCTCTCTGAAGAGTGCCAAAGTTAAAAATGTGTGGAGCTATGTCTCCATTCCTTCATACTTCTTCATGGTGTAATGCTTAATTAAGCACAGGAGAAAGTTTTAGGTTTCTGTTTGAGGCCACCTCTCGGAAAAGAGCTCATTCAAGGATGACTAAGATGTCAGGAGGCTAATATTTGTGGTAACATGTACTGGATTAAAACAGAAAATCCTTGTCTCCTGGGATGTGATGCCATGTAGCTTGATAGAAAAGTTGGAGAAACCTGCAGCTTTCATCTTCAGGGTAGCTGCGTATGCCACACAGGTAAGGGGAAAACTGGACAGGAATTAGAGCTGCAAGTAAGCCAATGGGAGATGCAGCCCTAGTTACTCTCCATATTTCCCTTTTCCTGTACCCTTATGTCTCTCTACCCTGAAGATAGGGGTAGCAGTTTCCCCTCAAATCTCAGTACCCATTTACCAAGCTACACAGCATCACACCCATGAGAACCTCTGATCCCATATGAATGAAATTTGCCTGGGGAAAGGTCCATATGTGAATTTTGTTTTAGCGGCGACGAGCTATATGTTTGCAGTAACATGGTTAGTGGCCAGACTATGGCCCTAAACATTAAAGGATCTTGAAAGGATTAAATGTTCATTCACAGACTTTTCGTCTACTTATTTCTCTGCTTAGAGACAACTGCATGTTATCATATCAGTATCATGCTTTATCTGGTACTTCATTCAGTACTGAAAGAAGCCTTGGTAACAAAATTATAAGAATGTGAAACTCTACACTACCTATACACTACACTCTACACTACTTGTAAAATGAAACACATAGCAGTTCCAGCCATTGTATTTAGACTCAATGTACTACATTAATCTTAAATTAAAATATAAATACAACTATGTTAAGAGTAATTACATTAGCAAAATAATAATATAATAATGCAGAGACATTCTGTATTCCACTCATTCAAACAGATGAGAATTCTATAAAGAACTTGCAAGATACATGGCTAAGTGGCAAGGGGAGAACAATGTATACTGAAATGTTATTTGCATTCTAACCTCTGATCTAACTGTGATCATAATGAGTCAAACCTCTTCTTACATAAATGGAAATTTTAGAGAAAGAATATATTCTGTTCCTTCAAATTCTGACTAATGTTGACACTCATTTCTAGTTTCTGTGAGTCTCCCACTTACTTTTAAATTAATGAACCAAATTTATCCGATTCCTTTTATCAAGAATAATGTATTACATGTTTGCTTCTGGTTTTCTTTTTCATGAACTCTATTCAAAAGAGAAATCCACAGAAAAAAGGGTGAATTCCTTGTATTTCAACAGTGCATTCAGTGGGTCTATGTTATGAACATTAGACATCACAGTCCTATCTCATATCCTCCTCCATGTCAATGAAGAACCTAAAAAAAATAAACTAACTATAGGACTCTGTTCAAATTTGTTAAAATATTTATCATGGGTAAGACCAACAATGATTCTTCAAGTGATGGATAATTTGGATATTTTGGTAATAACAATGCACTGCTCCACTGCTAATACATAATGTATCATGTTGTGCTATAGAAAAATGTTCACAGTATTCATTTTGACTTAGTAGAAAACTATTTTATGTCTTGAACGAATAAATGTAATATTTAAGTTACTTACATAGTACTTTGTAAGTTGATAAAAAGAAATTGACTTAGGTACAAACTTATATGCAGAAGTCAGTAGAATAATTTTTATTACAAAAAATTAGACACTATCAAAGACAATATAATACATATCAGTATAATTGTTAAATTAACAAACATGACTTTAGTTTTAATTTTTGTATGTTAAGAATTACTATGTATATTAATTAAAGAAAAGAGCCACTTACAAGTATCTTAGTAGACCACTCAGCTATGTCCGAATAACTGCTTCCCTTGTTGTTGAAGCCAAGCCCTGTTAACGTACTCATCAAGGAACAGGAAATTCAATATCTGGCTCAATAACATTTTCCATACCAGTTACAACTGCATGTTCAGGCTTTGAGGAGCGTTTTGTTGCTGTTATCTCTGTTGAAGCATCAGAAAAATGGAAAGCACCAAGGTGTGAGTATAGTGGGGTCAATTTCTCACCCATTTCTATGGACATAATCCTTTTTTCATCCACCGGAACCAGCTCCAGGCCTGGGTATTTCAATGATGATATTTTTTCAGTATGGCAAAATGTTGTCTTTGACAGCAGCATTTCCATGTTGCTCCTTTCTGCATAATTTATGAGGGTGGACACATTCTGTTGCATATCTCCACTCTGCATTGCTGTTAACAAGCCGACATCATACTTCTGATGTGCTGGAATGTAGGCGAAATTGTCTCCTGGTGTATAAAGGGAGAAACAGTTGTAATGAATGAGGTGTGCTGTAGAGGTTTTCATAATCCCCACCCACACGGCTTTTAATAGATTTGGGACAGAGTAAAATATATCCTAACTTTTTCATTTTATGTAGAAGTATTGGTATACTCGTAAACAGTGTAATGCTGCTGCTAATGATGATGGTCGTAAATTACAGACAATTACATAGAATGTTATTATGCTAACATAACAAATAAGTCTGTCTGTAGTGTAAGGCTTGGTGAACTCAATAGTTTGCCATTAGCAATTCAATGTAAGTGTAATGTGGTGACGAAAGGATGGGCACTACATGTGGTATCTGCTTACCCAAAAAAGTGTAGTAAAATAAAGGCAATTATAAAGTATAATTACATTTGTAAGTAACTAATGTGAACAGATTTATACATCTTTTACATATATCTAAGTAGGGCACCTCCAAGTTTGTAACTAATACTGTTTCCAGTAAAGGGATATGACTTAGCAAACAAATATTACTGGTACTGTCAGCAAAATTTGCAGTGGTTACAGAAGCCATGTGAAATAAATGTAGATGTTATGAGCGTTCTGTAGAGATGGTTCTGTTCCATACAAGATGGATGAGATGTCTGTGCTGCTATCTAGTATTTAATTCTTGCAATACTTCAAATACTGGGTTATAAATATCAGTATACTGTATATGGCATTCGTCTGTAGCTTGTTTCTATCGATTCTACATATGTGATATTTTTCTAATGTGGTTAAGTGTTGCCCTGTTTTCTTGTTTTCATTATGCCCATTGTGTTAGTTAGAGTCCCATAGGGCTGCGCTATAGCTCAAGCGGTTAGTCACTGGCTTGCCACTGCGGCAGCCTCGGTTCGATCCCTGGTCTGGTCAAGTGGGATTTGTGGTGGACAAAGTGGCGCTGGGGCAGGTTTTCTCTGAGTACTTCGGTTTCCCCTGCCAATCTTCATTCCAGCAATTGCTCCACAATCACCCTCACCTATCATCTGGGGCTGGTACAATAGGCCAGAAGTGGCCGCAGTACAAGGGACATAGTCCCACCCCACTAGTATTTAAAAACAAAACTACAGTCCCATATGTGTGCCCCTGAAACAACTGAGAGTTGTAAAATATAAACTGTGGATTTTAAAATCTTTTGTGTGAGTCGCACATGAGATGGCAGTGAATACATGAATAGAAAGTAGACAGACTGAAATGGGATCCTACAATATAATTCAGTGTCCCCATTTTCACAATTCCTCCCAGGTGATTGCAAATTCTTTGAAGTTGCATAATATGTGTCTTTGCTGTTGTTGCTCATAAAAGAGTTAACTCCGCATAATTCCCAGGATTTTTCAGATGCCTGAGAAGAAATGTGTGAACGCAAAAGACAGTAGAATTGGGCTGATTATTGTGTGTGTTCTTTAATAATTCTTACTGGATTTCATAAAGTTTATAGCATGACTTATACCAGTGCTCACTGCAGTAATGTGCTCTGAAGTAGGACTTGTGGCACATGTTGTGGACAGGGCCTCAGCACCATCTCTTGCATCATCTGTTGAGTGAGTGACTGAAGAAGAGGGAGAAAGCTGTGTGTATGCTGTTGCTGTTGCTGTTGCAGAGCCTGGATTTCTCTTACACCACTGAGGCAATTCAAGAAATACATCACATCCCTCTTCAAGTTCACGAGGACTTCGGCTCTCTACAGAACTGCTAGCATGGGACTCAAAGCTGTAGTCAGAGTCAGCTGAGCTCTCTGTACGTTGGGCGTTCAGCTGTACGGGTTTATGAGCAGTCCACTCCTCTCCATCCATTTTATCACACTGCCTTCTCTCAGTAATCTTTTCCTCCATTTCAACTAAACTATTCTTCCTGGGCTTTTCACATGCTTCAGCATTGTCATTTCCCGGCCCTTGATTTGCCAACAAGGAAAGCTGAAAGAAAGTACAAGATTGCATGATTAATGTAGCTGTATAAGAGTCCACTGTGTTAAAATTAAACCGGAACAGATGTCTAATACATTGTTAATTTTATCTCAGACTGATCAAAAGATTAGTCATAATTTTCTTCAGTTCCTCTCTTTCATCTAATTTGTCTAATTTCCGGTTAAACTTAGTTACTCATTGTACTTATTAGTATAATTTCATTAACAACACAAGAAATGAAAAACAAGAATGTAACAGAAAATGATTTTCTTGAATAATATTGTCATCTGTGTGTGTGACTTATAAGACTCGACTTGGTTTCCTGTTATATGTCGGGACAAACCTCCAGAAAACACCTTTCATTTCCATATCCATGGAATTATTTGTGTATCCACAGAAACATTACCGTGCGGCTGGTTGGTTTCCAAGAATACATCTCCATGGAAATGTGTTTGTGATTCACTCCCTAGTAATGGCTCTACACGTCACAATATTTAATATTTTCAAACTATATAAATGTGTTCTATTCGTTCCTTCCAAGAGTTTATCTGAGAAGAAAAATTCATGCTAGAAAGCAAGTATTATTTCCAACTAATGACACAATACATGTGGAACAACAAAATAGACTGCAGGAAAAGTTAGAAAACCAGAAAGAAAACTGAAAATATTTTGTTTATAATAATGGAGCAACTTGTAATTTGAATCATAAATGCATGAAGCAGGTACAGTGAACTGTATTTTTTTTTGTCTAGAAATAAGTACTGTGCTGAACAGAAACCAATCGACATGGAAAAGTGTGCATCCTGTTGTGTCAGAAGCAAATGGCAAGGTAAGGATTCACAAACGCTGAACTAAGCTACAACATACAATGCTCAATACAGGAAGAACACACACACATATCAATGACAGCAATATTTTTACGTTTTTACACGACAAACACAGCATGAACATCAACACGCCATAACAACCCATGTAATAATATCCATAATACAATTAATACTGTATAACATCAGGTGTAACAACTTCTGCCCTGAGAGATGCTCAACAACGTGGCTTTCCACAATTATTCACGCAACACGAAAACTATGAACACATGAGGAAATTTTAACATCATATCCCATAGTCTTAGCTACTATTCCAATGACTTTAATATTTTAGGTTTAAATTGTATAATTTTCAATTTAAATTTCATTCTCAAGGCCTTATTTCGCAATTTTACATCTTATCAATATATGTTCACCTTCGATAAATATCACACGCAAAAAAAAATAATATGTTAACATTTTTAATATATCTTTAATTCAACTGTATTACAATTCTTTGTATGTATATAATATTAAAATTGAGAAGGTTATTATTGTAATTTCTTGTATTCTGATCTAGACTTAATTTTGTAATACGAATGTGTTGCACTCAATATGGATCCATAATTGGGAGTTAAAATAACTTCAGTCATTCGATTATAACTACTGCCTAATGATGGTCCCATGAGGACCAAAACATGTAGTGGTGCAAAAATAAAAATTCAATCTCAGTTCTGATTGACTGTATAACCACATTTGTTGTGTTGACAGAACCCTTACCTTGCCATTTGCAAGTGTTCAGTTCTTTTGGGATTCTGTTACGAACAGATTTTACTGTAGTGTACTTAACGTGTACATGGAGATGGATTCTGTTACATACCCAGGAAGGTACGTAAGTACAGTAATTGTGAATGTAACTATACTTTGAGTTGTAGAACGACACTCATGAAACTGAAGTTAAATTAACTTGAGATCAAGTGTATAAATTGTGCACATAAGCCACTTACCCCTTCAAGGCCTTGATAATCTTTCAGGGATCCTTCAAACACTTTTGGCATCTTTTCATGAGGCATGTACTTGCAGCCTGTTAAGTCATCGGGAAGTAAGAAATATGGTAGCTCGTCGTCAGAAGCTATTTCTTCTCCTATAGAAAAACCATACAATAATTACTGTACATGAAAAATATCTATGGGGCACATGGTAGTGTAGTTGGTTGAGGCGCTATGCTACAAGGCAGAAGGTCGCGGGTTCAAGTCCCGATGAGGTCATTGGATTTTTTTCAATTGACCTAATTCTTCCAGGCACATTATGGCCCTGGGGTTCACTCAGCCTCTAACAAAACTGAGTACCAGGAATTAAATAAATAATTTTCCTGGGGGGTAAAACGCGGCCGTCGCGTAAGGCTGACAACCTTACCGTGATCTTTGAGCCGACTGTCTAGATAATGTGGGACCCTCAACGTCTCACAACCTATGGGCCTTCTTGGCCTGTTACAGGGATAGCTTTACTTTTTTTTACTTTACATGAAAAATATGTAACGGAATGAATGCATTAAAATATTCTTCATCCAATTAATATATGCTGAGCGAAATAATACAATTAATTTGGCATCGAATATCTATATATTATGGTAAAGTAAAGTTGTCTCTGTGCTCAACTAATTAAGCACTACGTCATGAAGGCGTATGGGGGGAGGTGGATGTATATACCAATGCTTTCTTGACTTTGGTACTAGTTGGAGGTGAGTGGTCAGCTTCACGCCTCGGCCACTTTACCCCCATGAAAAGAGCTCACAATGCCCATTTGATAGGAGGTTAAGTGGAGCCCAGAGCTGGTCTGGATGGCTTGGAGAAAAGAAAATTCTTGACCTTATTGAGACTTGAACTCCAACCCCTCAGTTGTCCAGCCCATTGACAGTCATTATACTGACTATGCTACCCTGGCTCCTAGCTATATATTATGGCTTTTATATAACTTTATTTTGTAGCAGCTTTTACAGATGTGTCTTTTTCTTTTATGAGCCCATTTATGTAAAAAATAAAGCCAAAATTATTCTAAAATTACCATATAATAAGTTCTAGCAATTCCTTATTTGCAATATAAAACATGTCATGACATATCAGGTGAAACTGTCCATAACAATTATTTTTATACTTAACTCATCCATAAATCTGTGAAACAGAAATATGGAATAGAGGTTGGCTCCCTAATATTAGAGAAAGCACTGCCAGGTACTAGATCATCAGGTCTTGCCCTAAATATATTTATTTATTAACAATAATGATTTTTATCATATTGAAATAACAACCACTGCTTCAAGTTCTGAAACTCATCACAATCCACATCTCATCAGACTGTAATTAGCAATGACCTTGATATATAAGAAGATACTGATCATATGTACATCGATTTATGATTTATTCAATGAAACATCTTCAATTGTCCATATTAAGTGCTGTCAAAAGTAGCATGTCTTGTGAGTGATCAACTAGGGAAGATCTGAAAGGAAATGACTATGGTCTATTCTAAAATACTACCTTCTAATTCGCTTGGAGAGACAAAGGAAAATCATGAAAAACTTCAGAGGAATAGCTTATTTCTAGCTGACATTGTCTTCTGAGACATCGTGAATATGAAACACAGGTGCTAATCACTGAACTGCAATATCCAGGTGACATAATGTAAGGACAGATTTAAATTCTCAACAAGCATTTCTCTTTATATGCGAACATAAAAGAACAAACAAAACAAAATATCCATGTTCAATATACAGTAATGTTCTAAATGGTTTTGCATTATAATGCCTTTTCAAGTCCCTTCTGTGCTGTGACACAATTTCTTTTTGACAGTCCTATTAGTCCTCTCATCTCCTTTTTTCTCCTTCACTCTGTACTCTCCTCCTTCCTTGGATCTGAGTGACTACCTTTCATCTTCACCACACTCACTTCGGTCCTGAAGAGGGAAGGGGCATGTTCCACCAAAATATTTCCAACTACCTAAGAGACCATATGACATCACAACTCAGAAGACCACAAGCAAAACAATCACTACCATGAAAACTTCAAAACCTATCTAGTCTCCTTTTAGTATGCTGAAAATTTTAATAAAACTGAGCCCAGTTTTTTGTTTGAAATTATTGAAGCTATAAGCAGTTTTAATCTGATTTTGATACTCAACACATAGCAATCATCTAAGTGTGGGCTCGTGAAAGGGTTGAATGAGGCTCAACATAATTTATATTTTACAATTACAATTCATAATCCCTTTGTAACAGTTCATACAGCATTCCTGTCTGATAATTAACAGATATTGCCTTTACCAGTTTATGTCCACAGAAAGGAAATGAAACTCCTGCCCTGTAACTTGGAGCAATCAACAATCTGCTCCTTCCACACTCCCATACCTGCTTCACGATTTCCTTCTAATGAATCAGCTGCTCTAATTTTTTTCCTTGTACAGTGCCTGCGACTGAAACCCATTTCAGCACAGGCATATTCTTGGGCACTAGTTACATCTTGACATCCAAAGATCTCTTGTGCATTTGCAATCATGAGTTCTATGGCTCGAGTCTGGTGTACAGTGTCCACCAAGGAGTTCAGTGATGCACTGCCCTCAGCTGTACGCAACAGAGTTGGTCCAAACACAATTCCCAAGTTACTGGGAGGCATGTTATTGATATCAGCATCATGTGCAACCCTCTCCAAGTGTTGCATGAGCATTGCCAAGGTCAAATAATGGTGGTGGGGAAGCTTACACACCAATTCCTTCAGTTCCTCTATCACTGCTCCTACTGCTACCGATGAACTGGAGGAACTATCTTTCGCTATTCTGCAAATATAAAGCAGAAGAAACTGTGTGTTTATTTCTATATGCTGTCACCAATTTTTATCTTATATAATGGGTTGTTTCTGTCTGTTTTTGGTACTGTATCTGCTCACTCACCCACCCATCTTCCTATATACGAAAATTCCTTAAGCATCTAGAGCAGAATTATGTTTCTCGAAGGACACTAACACACCAAAACACTTCAATCCAGTTTATGAACAAACAACACTAAGAAGACATCCTTGTTACAGTATGATGTTGGCCGCACTAACCGCGATTAGTCGCTGGCTTCCCACCACGGCGGCCCGGTTCAATCCTGGGTTTGGTCAAGTGGGATTTGTGGTGGACAAAGTGGCACTGGGGCAGGTTTTTTCCGAGTACTTCGGTTTCCCCTGCCAATCTTCATTACACCAATTGCTCCACAATCACCCTCACCTATCATCTGGGGCTGGTACAATAGGCCAGAAGTGGCTGCAGTACAAGGGACTTAGTCCCACCCCACTAGCAATAAAAAAATACAGTATGATGTTTGGTGGCAAAAGAAAATGAATAATGAACCATCTTGACCATTACACTTTATATTAACTGTTAAAAAACCAGACAACCATCAAGTTTAACACTTAATGGTTGAATTGAACATTAAAAATCTGAAAAGCCTATTATATTCTTTAAATCACAGTAGGAGACAAGAGAGTAGCATGCCAATTCTAGCTGTTCTCAAATCCACACAAACTGGAAATAGCATCTTAAATCAAACTGACACTCTGAAAGCCACACAACATACTTCGAATGCTACCTGCTTGATAGAGGCAGTATTCAGAAAAAGGCAAGTTGTCAACAGTTGAAATAAGATATCTACATCAATTAAAAAGGTAGCCTTTTTGTCTAATCACATTCAAATATATACAAAAAGGTCTATCTTTTCGGGCATAATGTCATGTAGTCCATGTAAAGTCAGCTGATATTTTTGAGAAACATGTCGCACACATCTTCAGCCCTGAATAATAGGCCATGCAAGGATCCATCATGAAATGTTTAGCAAGCAGAGCAGTCCACTCGCCAAAGGCTTCAGTTTGTATAGGAAAACTGGAGTAAAATATAAAACAACTCATTAGTTCATACAACAGAGTGAAGCAATAGAGTGTGACACAAGTCATCAATTTACATTAGCTCTGTCACAACACAAAGTGAACCAATGGGAGACAAGGATAATTAGCACTGGCCTTGAACAGGGCCACTAGTGCAGTTCTTGGTCGGCAGAGAACTGAGGACAATGGGAGAGAACTTGCATGTATGCACACTAGGTGTATGGTGAGGATACACAAAACAAATATTTCGGAGGGATGTCAGGACAGGAAGGAAAGGCTTAGGGCTAATGGGTGCCTGGGGAGGGCAGAGTCGATGTTCTGATGAGGACAGTGTGTATGGACCTACATGGTCCTGTGGAGCACCCATCTACAGAATCCTGTGAGAGAGGCTTCCTCCAAACTTTCAGAGAGCAGATACGAGATTTCCAGATGTCATCCCCTTGTTGATATTTTCTTGGCTTAATGACTAGACACAGGGTTTTGTACTAATTACTGAACTGAGTACTACACGGCATTATGTTCCAGAAAATAGAGACTCTTCATTAGCACTGCTGTGAGATCCTCAAATCCTACAAATGTACATAAATACTGTCTTCATTATATTCTTATTCAGGCAGTTATGTTTAATTAGGATGTGTTTCGCCAAGTTTTAAGTCATGTTCCCTATAAACTACTTTGAAGTCTCTTTTCCTTGAACAGAATTTTACTTAACATATTTCAAGGAAATTTTGAAACTACAGCATAATGTAATGCTGAACTGTGTTTGCCTTTAAAATGATACCAATTGCTTCTTCATATATTTAATTGTTTCTATCCTTATCTTCATAACAATTTTTGTTAACTTCTATTTAATTAAATTTAATGGAATTAATTCAATTGACAATTGCCTTGAGCATACACAATGAACAAACTTACATAACTGCATAGATGTGCCTAATAATTGTTGCACAATGACAGAAACATGTTATATATTGTGACAGTGTGAACATTTAAATAAAAGCTCAGAAAGTGTTGTGTAGAAATGTACAGACACTCAGTTAAATATCTGAATCATCCAAAAGAGGATATGGCAATACAGAACCTCTTGTAAGATTTGAGGCTTTCACGGCGGTGACTATGAAGAAAGCAGTCTTCTGGGATTTGGCACCGTGTATATGTGGCGTTAACCGACATTTCGGAGGAACGTATCGCCCCCATCTTCAGGGTAGAAGAAAAAGTATAAGAAATCTGCAAGCGACAACACCGTGAGAAACGGTAAAGCAGACTCTTACGGTGTTGTCGCTTGCAGATTTCTTATACTTTTTCTTCTACCCTGAAGATGGGGGCGATACGTTCCTCCGAAACGTCGGTTAACACCACATATACACGGTGCCAAATCCCAGAAGACTGCTTTCTTCACAGAACCTCTTGTTTGTGAACCATCCCCTCCAGGTTACATGAATGTCTAAAAAAAATAAATACAGATGTTGTGCATTATTATATCTTACCTTACAAATTCGTTGTAAAGGCAGAAGGTAAGAAGAGGTTCTGGCAACTGCCGCAAATACAGTTTCAGCACATTTGCTATGACATTAGGGTGAATATCAGTCAAATCTACCAACTCTGCACCATTTTCAAATGCTTGACACAATTTCTCAACTTTAGATTTAACTCCAGATACTCTGTAGATTCCCTGTAATTGGAAGGTTTTAATTATCTACAGTGATAGTTTCCTCATTTGCATTTGGAGTCATTGTAAGTGCTCATCACCAACCAACAAAATCCCAAACACAATATTAACATCTCCATCTTAAAGCAGCAGCACCCATCACGACAAAGATCGTAACAGATCCAGGGGCATCAGAGAACGCGGAAGAACAGCGAGACCTCACAAACAAGTGAAAGTGCAACCAATAACATAAGTTGAATTTTAAATCACAAACTTTTAACCAATAATAATAATAATAATAATTAAACTAGTTAAAAAAGAACTAGACACAGTTGTGAGCGTAAGTAAAATGGGACTGTAAACAACAAGTGAAAGTGTAACCAGTGACATGAATTGAACTTCGATTCACGAACTTTTAAATTTTAACAATTAAATTAGAATAATAATTTTAACCTATGTTTTATAAAAGAACTTGATATATTAGTGAGCATAGGGTCGAATGACTGAAAAGTGAATGTGACCGCGTGTAATTATACAGCCGTGTTCATACACCTGAGGATGACCTCTTGAGGTCGAAACATGTAGTGATAATAAAAAACGTGTTGTGTAGTCGGTAAATTCACTCTACTATTAAATGACCTTCACAAAGTATCATAATTTTAAATGGAGGAATATATTACAGAATTTATTTAAGGATCCTACATTCAAATTATTTGTGTGAAGGACTTAAAGAATTGGAATGGAGTGATTTCAAAGGGTATAACTTTCCTGCTATGTTTGATAAAAATCTGCAATCTTATTTAAAAGTAACTGGAGTTCAAATATGTATACAGACAGATGGTATTTGAGAATACCCTTTGAGCCTGCTTTTATTTTATAAACCAGCATAACAGTCAAGCTCAAATACTAGTATATGAAATGCATGACTAAAAACAAGGTTTTAAAATAAAAAAAACATAGCAAAAGGTGAAGGGAATATGATGAACAGGGTTTTATTTCTTACCTTGATCAGCTTACCACGGGAGTCAATTTCATCAATGCACTTGCAGACAATGTGTGGCACAAGCGTAGCTGTCTCAGTGAGATGTTGGCCTAGATCAACACCGAAAGTAGTCATCTTGCGTGGCAGACGTTTGTGCCCGCACTGGATGGCCAAAGTTTCAAGACACTTCTTGTGGCAAGTTAATCCACACTGCAAGTCAGCCATAAACATTCACAGGACTAACGCAAGTCTCATTTATATTTCCTACTAATGAATTGCTGTAGCGTTTACAGTATCATGGTGGTTCTCATGGTAAAACTGCAGATGAACTGCAATTACACTTTTGTAGGTAACAGATGGCACTACTATTTTTAAATAAGTCACTTCTTCCGTGAAAGAGAAATTTACTCATTTCATGCATTGTCAAAGATGTCCATGCTCCACTTCAGCTCTTTCATCTCAGGGATGCTATTAGAAGGAATTTATATTGGATCAATATAATTGAAACTAACTACAATTTACAGATTTTTATTATTATTTGTTATTCTGTCAGGGTAACAGCTATTCCTGTGCTGGTCATGGTAGCCAAGCGGTCTAAGGCATGTAATGTCTTCGCTCGCTTGGAAACTGGGATCGTGGGTTCGAATCCCACTCAGGGCATGGATGTTTAGTTTGTGTGTGTGCATTTTTCTGTGTTTGTGTACAGGTAGAGGCCTTGCGATGAGCTAATCAACCGCCCAAGGAGTCCTACCAAATGTGTAAGATCTAGAAAAACCAAAGTGAATGGAGAAGTTCATGGAGGTAGGCCTAGGCCCACTGGGGCTGCAGTGCCAAGGAAAAGAAAACAGCTATTCCTGTAGCTGCTATAATTACTATTAATACCACCACCACCCCTAACCTGCTCCAGTTACACACTTAGACCACTATCAAGCTTCTTTATGGATAGCAGTGAGAGTCTGAGTTATCTCACCTCAGTGCAGTCACATCCCTGGAAGTACACATATGAATCACATTCTCTGCATCGGGATGGTGTTTTCAGTTTTCGGAAAGTGTGAGTTTCTGCTGCTTTAGACATGCAGTTTCTCTGCCCAGAACTGTAGTTAAGGTAGCTGGCATCTGCAGAGACAAACTGTTCTCAGGAAGCCTAACTCAACCAACATTAAGACACGCATACAATTATGCATATTCTCACAATTTCACAACAGCATGTAGGAAACAGAGCTGTGACAATAAGAGCACACTGACCTCGCTGAAGGCAGGATCCTGTGGTGAGACTTGTTTTATCAATGTTGAATATTAATGCTAATACCAGAGGATAAGTTAGTTTAGTTAGTTAGCCCAAACGTACAAGAACTATAATATGATCTTAATGAGCGAGAGAACCTGATGCTTGAATTATGAAATGCATGGTTCTGTATGGGTGTGAAACTTGGTCTCTGCCATTAAGGGAGGAACAAAGACTGAGGGTGTTTGAGAACAGGGTGTTGAGGAGAATATTTGGACTGAAGGGAGATGAAGTGACAGGAGGTTAGACAAAACTGCATAATAAGGAGCTTCGTAACTTGTACTCTTCTCCAAGTATAATTAGAATCATCAAGTCAAGGAGGATGAGGTGGGCAAGGCATGTAGCATGAATGGGGGAAACGAAGAATGTGTATAGGATATTGGTGGAAAAGTCAGGAGGAAATAGACCACTGGGAAGACCAAGGCATAGGTGAGTGGCATTGATTGGACTCATCTGGCTCAGGATAGGGACCAGTGGAGGGCTCTTGTGAACATGGTGATGAACCTTCAGGTTCCATAAAATGCTGCAAAATTCTTGAGTAGCTGCAGAATTGGCGACTCCTCCAGAAGGGCTCAGCTCCATGAGTAAGTAAGTAAAAGTAAAGTAAAGCTATCCCTGTAACAGGCCGTGAAGGCCCATAGGGTTGTCATACGTTGGGGTTCCCAAATTGTCAGGACAATTGGCTCAGATGGCGGTAAGGTTGTCAGCGCCAGCCGCGCTTTACTCCCCAGGAAAATTATTTATTTAATTCCTGGTACTCATTTCTGTTAGAGGCTGAGTGAACCACAGGGCCATAGTGCGGCCGGAAGGATTAGGTCAACTGAAAAAAATCCCATGACCTAATCAGTATTTGAACCCGCGACCTTCCAACTTGTAGCATAGTGCCTTAACCACTACGCTACCACATGTCCCCTGAGTAAGTAAGTAATATTATTTGTATAGTTAATAAATATTTGATTTTATACTTGCCATTATCATTTGTGTTGAGTTCATCACATGAAGACATTCCAATAAGCTTGCGGTTGGACGTGGGGGATGCCTCGTGGCTCTTGTTGCTCTGACTACTGGCAATGCTATCAGTGTCACTACCAGCCATTACCTTTGAACTGAATTTTCCTTTTTCTGTAAGAATGAATGCAGTTAAATATTAATTTGCATGTATGTGTTCCAATAAAAGGGCACACATTCATGTATATGTTCATTTCTGTAATTTACAACTTGTAAACAGTCACTGCTAAGTCACTGGCATGAATGCCACAAATGGTATGTAGTATAATAGGGGAGGGCACTTTGCTGCAATGTACAAGGTCTGACAATAAAGTTCGTGAACTCGCCACCGTGTGCTTACAGTGGCAGCAGTGGACAGAAACCTCAGTGTGGTTTGATGATGTTGGCATATCAGTGTTTCACAGCTGTGTTGTTGTTGATCTACAGCAGTCTCTGTCTGAGTGGCATCTATTATTGTCTGAGTGTGTCTTGGCGTGCCGTCACGAGAATGTCAGAATGGACATTAAATTTCTTGTTAAACTTGGCAAGAGTGTAAGCGAAATCAGAGATATGTTAGTGCAAATTTACAGGGATAATGCTATGAAGAAAACAGTTTACAAGTGGGTGACACGTTTTTATGAGGAAAGAGGAAGTGTCGCTGACGAAAGTTCAGGATGGCCGGCAATGAGCAGAACTGAAGATAACAGTGCAAAAGTTCGTCAAATTGGTGTGAAAATTGTTGGCTGTCAGGAGCATAGCAGAACAAGCGAACACTGACAGAGAAACAGTTAGGAAAATCTTAACAGAAGATCTTGACATGAGGAAGGAGTGTGCAAAAATGGTCCTGAAGGACCTGCTCACACGGCACTGTCTGTGAGGGAGTTTTTAGCTAGTAAATAAATAACTACTGGAATACCCTCCCTATTGACCAGATCTAGCCTCCAGTGACATAACTTACCTCTAAACAAGTCTTCACTCTCAACAGAATCAGTTGACTTTCTCTCTTGATCCAGGAATTTATTAATCCCTTTGGAGTAGGGTTCAAAACTGAAAGGTGACTGGGCAGGATCTTTGTGAGATGCCAAAGAAGTTGGCAATCTTTTGACAAATTCTGTATACTGTGTACCCGGATCATAAAGCTGGCTGCTTTCACATAATGTCTGAAACTGCAAGGAAATAGACTGTAACTCACACTGTCAAACTTAGAAATCAGCTTATGTACTACACGGTCTGTCAACAATGCAACAAATTGTTCCTTATTTCTTTTATTTTCACTTTCGACACAATGTGTTTCAGCCCTAAATACAATGTTTTCGCCTGCTTTTCTAAACATTATACAATGATTTATAGTTCCTTTTAGATATCTTATCACTTTCTTTGCAGTTTTCCAGTGTTCGTCACCATGCTGGGTAACAAAATGGCTGCATATACTAGTAATATAAACAATATGTGGTCTAGTACCCACTTTAGCTGCATCAAGAATCCTATCAAACACTGATTAGGTACATCAGGAGTACACTACTTTATCCTCTCATTATTTGATGTGTTCTTCAACAGCTTCTGGCAGAAATCTAGTGGAGTTCCCATGGCTTTCACATTTGACACGTAATTTTATCACACAATTTCCTCCATGCCCTTCTGTTATTTCACACAAACCACTTTATTCTTCCTCTTTCTTTGGGTTTTCATGTGAAGGTTCCATTTTGCTTCCCTGTGATCCTTCATTTTGAATCTTCTAATGTAGTTCTTCCTTTGCATCTCTTTCTGACTTTTGTTAATAAAGAAAGTGAGCATACCAGTCACATACATGGAAACAATGACCGCACTCTTTCTATCAGTCTTGCAAGGGGCGCATGGTTCATGATTTGACATTTCAAGTCTGATGTCTATCAACACTATGTGTGTCTTTGTGTTCCATGCTCCTGATGATTCCTCAGTAGTATTTTTAAATGTATTATATCCAGTGTATCATGACTTGTTCTTAAATTTGATCGTAGGTGTACTGTGTTCATGGTACACTGATTTGCTTTAAGTTTTGGTAACAAGGATTCATGGGATGCATAAATAGGTATTTGTCTTTCTCTCTACTGACCTACCTACCACTAGCAAGACATAAAAGGCTACAATTTTGCCTGTAGTTTTCTATGGATGTGAAACCTGGTCTCGTGACATTTACAGGACAGCACAGAGCAGGGTGCTGTGGAGAATATTTGGACTGAAATAATAGGAGGTTGGAGAAAACTGTGTAATGAGGACCTTCATAGCTTGTAGTCCTTACTAAATATAATTAGAATGATCAAGTCAAGGAGGATGAGATGAGCAGGGCCTTTAGCATGCATATAAGAGAAAAGGAATATATACACTATCTAATCACTCACTACTGAATAGTGTTCACTACTCCTTATTTAGCCTCGGCATGGAAAACACGGAAAACAGTTACATGATAGGTACCACTGTTGCTTAACGTCGTGTTTGCCGGTTGCCTAGCAACAGTCGTTGCACAGGCTTCCCTGTTGCGTGACGCTGTGTTTACCGGTGTTGCTAGCAATGCTGTCGAGAGTTGTCTCCTGCTGTGTAGCAACTGCAGTATCCCTTGGTAACACCACAGCCGCTCCTCTTCTATGTCAGCGCGGGGGAGGGGGGCGCCCACCGAGCATTGCTTACTGATGGAAGGAGTGGGGGTAGGTGAAGTGACTTGCGAGACCATAGAGTTCACGTGCCCCCCACTTCCTGTTGTGCCATCCACGCCACAATATATATATATATATATATATATATATATCAGAAATGTCCCTAGATATAGTAATAGTGTTCTCAAAAATCACAGTGAAGTTGAGAAAACACAGACTGCACACTACCACGTAAAAAACTCCGTGATTTTAGTCCGCAAGCTAACTATACTGAGCGACCGCCACTTGTTGACGAAGTTTAGTGCCTACTTTATCAGATAGAGGTGTCGTGTGGTCAGCACAATGGATACCCACGGCCATTAATTTCGGTTTTCTAGACCGGACACTACCATGTACGTGCAACATATTTAATTCACAGTGGGTGTACATTTACTTCTCTCTTGACTGCAATATCCAATACTTCATTTACATGCATACCTGTGTGGGAAGAGGTGTGCTCAATGTTTGCTGAAGCTGGAAGTAAGTGACTGTAACTCTCTTAATAATGCAATCACTCTGCAAAATCAGCTCTCGTATACGCTGCAGAATTACTGACTTCACTTTCTGCATGTGTGCATGGAATGCATTGGCTTCCACAACACTCGCCTTGTATGCTGCTTCTGTTTCTAGAACCTGGAAAAAATTATTCATTCTGATTTATTATAAATGACTATATGGAGGTTTCTTCATCTACAATTCTATATAACTGATCTATGTCCAAGAGATAACATTTTAAGTTGGGGTGAAATCAGTGAGTGTGGTTAAGACCCATCAAAACAGAAAAATATAAGTATACTTGGAGTAAAGTACAAGTTATGAAGCTCCTCATTATGCAGTTTTCTCCAACACCATCACCTTATCTCTCTTCGGTCCAAATATTCTCAACACCCCTTTCTCAAACACCCTCAGTCTATGATCCTCCTTTAATTTCAGAGACCAAGTTTCACACCCATACAGAACTACAGGCAAAAGGTTCTGGACTGAATGATAGCAAGCATTACTGAGTTCAGTCCCCTATTAATTTCCTCCTGAATCAGGTTTTGATTTGTTATAGTTGTTCCCAAATATCTGAACTGTGCCACATTTTCAAAATATCTGTTACTTATATTCATGTCATGATTTTTTTCCTGCATTTTGGTGACAAACTCTTAAACATCTCATAAAAACACCCATTACAGTACATGATTTTATATAAAACCTAGTTATATATGATAAAAGAAGGAGATGTTTTGTGTTTCCACAAGAGATTTGGAGACATTACAGTGGTTACAAGTTTTTTTCAAACATATAAAACACAAACTTCTTTCAGAAGTGGAGTCGGAATTTTCATTCCCTTTCTTGTCTATTTTATGAAATGCACCATTTGTATGAAATTCAATGAAAGCGAATTTCCTTACTTGTTTAATAATAATGGCTGTCTTCTACTGAGAACTCAAAACTTAGAACTGAACCATATTGCCATTTTTTTTAAGAAAACTCCTTCGCATGAACCCCATGAAAAACACAGCCTCTATTGCTGAAACGTGTTTACCGAACTACTGCATAGCAAAGGTTGTAGCATGGACCCTCACTGTTGTTGAAGTTTGTTTACTGAGCTGTTGCTTAGCAACACTCTGGCCATCCACGTTACAATATGAAGGGGAACATGTGAATAAATATAAGATGTTTCTCATCTCACATCAGAAATATACACAATTTCTTTTGTATAAGTCAACCAAAAATATTGTAACCATCTGAACTGTCTTTTAATATAACCTTCTAGTGTTTAAAAAGATCACGAATAAGAATTTTTTGCTTATAAAAGCACTCTGGTATATTTCAGAATTAAATAAATAGTCCAGGAAGGTAACATAAAACCGATCTGACCTTCTGTACAGCTTCATCAATTGTGGCTTTTCTTTTATCAGTTTTTCCTTGTGCGGACTGGTCAGCCTTTTGTGATTCTTCACGGACTTGTTCCAATTCCTGCTGACATTTCACATACTTGCTGCATGCTTTTTGCATCTGGGTAACTACACTGTGCATGTGTGCCACTTCTTTAAGCCACAGCTCCTTCACCTGTTTGCGCATTTTCTCATGTTCTACACGCCGTGCACTTAATGTCTGAAATCAGAATAAATATTAGTTCTAAGAATCAAAATTAAAGCAAAAACCAGTAAATCAGAATAATCATGATGCTGATTATTTCTTTATAAAGTGTAAGATGAAAAAATTATAGGGAAGACACTAAATAAGTGAAGGATTCCTTGCTCAGCATAAACATTTAATTGTCATGCAAGTATAATGTGAGCCACAGTTTATTTAGAGGTGTTCAGTACAGTTTGGTTCCCCATACTCATAAATATTCTGATGTCTCTGAATGTGGTATAACAAATGTAACTGCCAAAAGCATACTATAGCAATTGTAAAATGTTGCGACTTCAGCGAGCTTGAATTAATAACAACTGGTTGAAAATTAATCATATGATATACTTTCTTTTAAAAACCAATCCAATAATGAAACCATGGAAGCAATTATTTCTTACATACAATGGTCAGTCAAAAAGTTCCGAGAATTCCCCTGCGAAGAAGAATGAGAGACAAGACAGCGCACACATTGTTGTGGTGGGGAGCTCAGCATGTCTGCTCACAGGTTCAACAGGTCTGGGCAGGTTTCAACATGCAATGTCATTACTGTTCATTTGAGTTAGACATGAGTGTTGGTCATTCGGCACAATGTTGCAGTTTGAACAGTGTGCGAACATTAAGTTCATGTGAAAATTGGGAAAATCTGCTTCAGAGGCACTACTGTTCTTAGCAAGTTTACAGTGATGCTGCACTAAAGAAATCTGCAGTTTATGACTGGTCTTCCAGGGTTAAGAATGGACAGGAGATGTCGGAGGATGACCAATGCAGCAGGAGGCCTTTGACATCCAGAATTGAAGAAATGATTGAAAAAGTGTGACAACCAATTCAATATGATCGAAGAATGACCACTGTGGAGCTGGAGAAAGAAGTTTGTCTCTCTCACAGATCCGTTCATGCAATTCTGTCTGGTGAATTACAGATGAGAAGTGTCAGTGCGAACTTTGTTCTGAGACAGCTGGCCATGGATCAGATGGAATGCTGCATGATGTACACTGAAGATCTGTTTGAGAAAAGTACGCAGGACCTGACAATTCTCAAAGAGATTGCCGCTGGTGATAAATCACTGGTGTTCATCTACAACCCGGAGATGAAGATGCAGTTATCAGAGCGGCACACAGCATCATCTCCCCGACCAAAGAAATCATGCCTCATCAGATCCAAGGAAACAGTGATGCTCACTGCATTCCTTGATGGTTTGGTGCACCATGAAATTGTACCAGCTGGATATAGTATTACTGATCATTTCTATGTGCAAGTTTTGCAGATGTTGTGAGATGCAGTTCAAAGGAAGCATGGCAACAAGTGGTAGGGACAGTGGCTTCTGCATCACAATAACGCACCAAGGCACAAATCGCTTGTTGTGCAGCAATTCCTTGCTGAGGAAAACATTTCTGTCATCACCCAACCAACATACTTTCCGGATCTCACTCTGAGTGACTTTTGGCTGTTCCCTACTATGAAAATGGGCCTCAAGGGGACATATTTCACAACCATTGAATTGAATATGACGGCCGAACTTCGAAAGATTCCAGAAGAAGCCTTCCACCAGTGCTTCCAACAATGGCAGGATCGATGGAGCAAGTGGGCGTGAGTGAGTGTGTGTGTGTGTGTGTGTGTGTGTGCAAGGGTCCTACTTTGAAGGCGATTAGGTGCCTGTTGCTGTATGTCCTATCATTACAGTGCCATACCACCATTCCCGGGAACTTTTTGGCTGCCCCTCGTATATACAGAAATTTTTATTTGTAGAATGAAATGATAATATTTATAGCAGTAAAACAACTAAAACTTCTAACTAAAATGCAACAAATTCATTTTCAGCTACAGTTGTGACTTGGAAGACGGATTTTCTAATTGTCATTGAACTTCAGACCGCTTACTGACACATCGAGAAACGTTTAAGAAACTACATTTCACATGACCGGACGTGTACATCTAATTCTCACCTCTACAAATTTCTTCCCTAAAAGTAAACCATATGTGATTTGGCTGGAATTGCTGTTTTCCACATCATGGTCTAGTGCAGTGCAGTAGATGGACTGGAATGGTAAGTTACACTGAAATATAAAATAAAATATGACAGTTAAAAACCCTGACTGTGGCAGTTCTAAGTTCTTCTTGAAGTTGGCATAGGTGTGCAGAGAGAGGTATTAGCTCTATTGATTGGGCCCAACTGAGTAGGTTTTACCTGAAGACAGAGATGAAATCCAGTCTCTAAAACGCTGTGTTTTGAAAAATAAACAGGATTGTTTTAGATAAAGACCAGATGATGGATAATGTCTGGAAACATAATATTTGTACTAATGTACCATTGTCAAAAACTTTTAGATCTTAAACACTATTACATTAGAGCAAATGCTGGATTCTCAGTAAAGTAGAAGAATGACATATTGAGTTAGCAAAAATTAAATTCTTCGAACAACCGGTTTGAATAACAAGAAAAGACAGTGTCCAAAATTAAAATATTTGACTGTAAGTTAGAGATGGATGTATGCTTGATGAAACTGACAGTAGCATTAGAAATGACAGGAAAAAGTTCAATAGGTGTCAGCGAATTGTCTACTTAGAGCCGTGATGGAATAGAGATCCTAGGGGTTTAGAAAGAACTAGAAAAAATGGAAAGACCACTGATGTGTCTTGCTTCAGAACAGGGAATATAGCATCCAAGCTGTGAGAAAGAAGATCAGTATTTTGAGTGGACAATACTGTTCAAGGGGCTTAGTAGAAATGATGGGTCTAAGAGAGGGAATATACGAGCATTTCCAATTGGAATGCATGAAATGCATTGGAAGTTGCAGCACCAGGGAAGGATCTAGCTCCGAAACTGCAACTCTGGGGTCTCTGTATTGAAGAGTAATGGTGGAGACGCTTGCTACATCCCTATCAAAGTGGTAAGGTCTAACCTACAATCAAGAATTACCTCATTTTTGTCTTGGTTGGGAAACAATTTACTCTGACAGATTCATCACGGTTTTCTTCAGCCTGTCTGAACAAATGCCAGGCTATTTACATTCAAATAAGCAGTGACTTACTACTGCCAAGAACCTTGCAACTCACTAGCTCACTACTATTACATAACTAATCCAACTGTTAGAGGATCAGTAACTAACACCAAAATAATAATGACAGTTATTGGCAACAATAATTCTGTATATCTAGTGCTACTTTGCAGCTTGAAGTCTTTTGTACTTTTGTTTCAACCTTCCAGCTCTTTTGATGCTGCAATGCACACGAGTTTAGATTCGTGTATGGAACTGTATCACAAAAGGTTACACAACAGTCTTCCTATAATAGCATGGGTATTTTGGGAATGGCTGCCATTAACATATTTGACATCCTTATTTCATGGATTTTAACTTACCTCTTCATTGATGAGTGGCCGAACAGTCATTGCAAGTTTACTTAGGTTCTTGGTATATTCCATTTCAATATGAGCACGTTTCTCCACATACATTATTATATCCTTAGCATACTTTGACCATAGTTTTGCATGTTGCAGTGCAAAATCCACTCCTTGTTCCAACAGTAGGAGCAGCCCATCAACTTGTTGAGGCGAGAGATTTTCTGGCTTCCTGTCCTCTGCAATCCCTCCTCCACATTCAGCATCTGATGCCAAGTTCTCACAAGACTGGAAATATAATAAAAAGAGAGCCTTCTGGTAGTCTTTTATTTAATGCAAATCTACCATGCACACACTGAGCAGTATTTTGTCAGGTAAAAATACATACTTATGGAGCTAAGACCTTCTTGAGAAACCATGAATTCTGCAGCTACTCAAGAGCTTCTCAGAACTTCATGGGACCTGAAGGTTCATTACAGTGTTCACAAGAGTCCTCCACTGGTCCCTATCCTGAGCCAGATCAATCCAGTCCATACCATCCCATCCTGTATCTCTAAGATCTATTTTAATATTGACCACCCACCTACATTTTGGTCTTCCTAGTGGTCTCTTTCCTTCTGGCTTTCCCACCAATTTCCTTTATGAATTCCTTTTCTCCCCCATTCATGCTGCATACCCTGCCCAGCTCACCCTCCTCGACTTGTCATTCTAATTATACTTTGAGAAGAGTACAAGTTAGGAAGCTCCTCATTATGCAGTTTTCTCCAACCTCCTGTCACTTCATCCCCCTTTGGTCCAAATATTTCCTCAGCACAGCATTCTCAAACACCCTCAGTTTATGCTCCTCCCTTAAATTTGCCACATCGAGAAATCTTACAGTCGAAAGTAAAAATGTTCCACATTGTAACATTCATAAATATATTTCGACATCTCCTGATGGGAAGACACAAGTCAAGTTGACTATATTTTGATAGACAGGGTACGGCATTCAAGTATACTTGATGTCCAATCGTTTGGGTCAGCAGACTGTGATATGACCACTACCTGATGGTGGCACAGGTTAGGGAAAGACTGGCAGTGAGTAAGCAAACAATGCAGAGTTCATATGGAATCTCAAGACATTAAACGAGGTAGAGGTTAAAGAGCAGAATCACATTTTGGAAAACTTAGACATTGAGGTGAATGTTAATAAAGCTTGGGAAACTATTAGAGACCATATCAAAATGTCTGCCAAAAAGAGAGTGTAGGTTATTATGAACTGAAGAAGCATAAGCCATGGCTTGACGAAAGATGTTCAAAATTATCAGACCAAAGGAAACAAGCCAAATTGCAGTGGTTACAGGATCCAAGCAAAATAAATTGGGATAATCTGAACAATACAAGATGTGACACCAGCAGGCATTTCAAGAATAAAAGAGGGAATATCTGAAAGACAATGATTAATGTACATTAGTAACACAATTTACTTTCATGCAATACTGATTTTGTTGTTATCTATATTTTTGAATGATTATAAGAGAGCTGAGTTTTCAACAGTGGTGGAGTTTCATACTGTGGCCTTCTGGATTATGACAGCATGTAGCCTGGTGAGTGAGTACGATTCATAGGAATATATTGCCTCAGTCTTCTATCTCACTGAGATTGCAGCCCGCATACCAGATTACATGAAATCATAGTCCAGAAGACCACAACATGAATTCCTTCATGTTGCTGCCTGCTTGAGGGGTATTTAAGAATACACAGTAAGAAGTGACATACCTTTGTCTTGCTGGATACAGAGCTGGATACAGAAATGTTGGTATCCAGGTCCCCCATCAGATATTCTGAAACCCTGTTAAGGAAAGAAGAAAAATCATGCATATTGGCACGGTTAGTAAACTTAGTTTTGTATTACATTTTAGTTTAGTCTATATCCCCTTAAAATATAATTTGCTTGCATGTGCTTATTAATAAAAAATATGAGCAGTCTGACAACACATATTGACAATATGTTTCCTACATAAATGAATACTTAAATTTATAAGAATCCCTTTTGTTCCTTTGCATGTGACAGACATGAGAAGAAGAGGAAGAAACAGTGAAAAATCTTTAAGAAAATGTTCCTTACATTATCACAGAAAATATAAAGTAAGTTTAATCTAAACAGAATCGCTAAATAAATCAACAAACAATTTATTGTATGGAATAATGATATTCTAACAAAAACTGTTCATAAATTGAAACCATTCTATTGGAGGTAAAAAGTTGTTTAAGTGAAATATCAGCTTCTTTCTGTGGAAAATCTTCTGTGGCTTGAAAAAGGTCAAATAATTTTACAGGTGCCATATAAAAAAGCAATAAGTATGTTATTTTACTGTTACTGTCACCAAAGTCTTGGGTGAGCTTAGCAAAATGCTGTCAATAGGAAGGACATCTCGAGTCCACACTGTGTGTTCAGACTTCTTGCATATCAGATCATGTATATCTGGAATCATTCATTGGCAGTTCAACAGTACAAGGATCTCTGGGTTTTCTCAAAAGAACATTAATATTTTATGTTTATGCTTGGAAAAGTACAAATTGTCTTTATTAAATTCTCAAATATTCTTAAAGGAACAATACATACAATACATAGTGTAACTGTTCTTTATATTACCTATTTACAGCTGTGTTATTTCTTTGTATATTATTTTTGTGTTAGTATGTTTTAGTGTATTATATGAAATATTGTTGTGATTGATAGAAACAGTGTCCTTGATTACACAGTGATATTTATTGTACAACTGCTACTATTGTACTCATTTTTAATAATGGACTACTTCTACATCTGTGGTGACTTGTTATCACCTTTATGGATTACTTGAAGTATCGATTAAATAAATAAATGCTTAGAATTTATCAGTCAGCCAAGGTTATTCAGAAATGTCCCATAATTTTAGAGAGAAGAGACTCTTTTAATTTATTTGTGTACCTGCTGCTGAAAGCTAAAGCTAGTTGGTCAATGGATTCGAAGAACTCTTTTCGATCCAGCTGCTCACCCTCATAGTTGTACCCTGCAAACAAACCATGTTCATATTCTCTTGCTGAAAATCATTTCCATCATATGCAGAAATAAGTGTGATGACTTTGCACTCACTCCAAAGACTATTCGATAATGTGAATGCTGAGGTTGGAATAGACCATCTTTAAATGGTATAATTTTGGGATGGCATATAATAATGAAGTCTGGAGTTGTGAACTTTATTATAAAACATCTTTGAGCCGATTGTCTAGATAGTGTGGAACCCTCAACGTCTCACAACCCTATGGGCCTTCACGGCCTGGTACAGGGACAGCTTTACTTTTTTACTCCTTTGACTGTTGTTAATCATTGGCTTCCCACTGCAGCAGCTCGGGTTCAATCCCGGATCTGGTCAAGTGAGATTTATGGTGGACAAAGTGGCGCTGGGCGGGTTTTCTCCAAGTACTTCAGTTTCCCCTGCCAATCTTCATTCCACCAAATTCTCCCTCATTATAATCACCCAGGCAGGTTACAATAGACCAATCAGTGGCTGCTGTGTCGAGTGGACCCAGTTGGACTCCACCCCCCACTAAGCGCATTTCATTTTAATTTTAATATAATGTATGAGTAATTGATTTCATAATTCAGTGAAACTCCATATCATATATGCAAGACATATCGCTTTTGAGGCTACACACAGGTTACAAAATACAATAAGCAAAAAGGTAAAGTTGTCCCTGTGATCAATTAGCTAAAAACCATGTCATGAAAGATGCATGTGGGTATGAAGGTTTAACTGGAACATATTGACCTAAGCATTATATGGAGATGAGTATTCAGCTTCACACCCCGGTACCCATTGTAGAGGAGGCTGAGTGTGCCCTATAACTGATTGGGATGATGTGGAGAAGTGACAAATCTCTTGCCTCTACTGGGAACTGAACCCCATAAGAACTAGGATATAAAGTAGCTCCAGGACATGAAGCTGGCTGAGAGTAACAGCAGGACTGCCTACGCTGATTATTAAAATTATGTTTTTCTTAAATGTTTCAAGTGACTTCCAGAATAAGTACTTCAAATAATTTGTCACACTTCCACCTAAGTTGCTGTTCAGAATGTAATTCTCAAAGAACTGAGGAAGATGTTAATACAAAGGAGAGTCAGTAAATAGGTCACAAAAGGTAGTAAAGCAGCTGTAATGGGTGTAATAGGTTTTCTATATATATCGTTAGGTAGCAGCACAGGCTAGCTGCATGTCAGTCTAGGTAGGAGACGCACACATGTGCATGTTCAGAGGCTGGTTCCAGTAGCCAAACCGGCGACCGCGCTTGAGGAGTATACTACCGAAGTGCAAAGGGACTCAAAGCAAAGGATATTCATAAAAAATGTTTCCTATTTATGGTGGGAAGTGTTTCTCACGTAAAGTGGTTCACAACTAGATTGAGAAATTCTCTCAAGGACATTCAAATGTTGCAGATGATGCCCGACCAAGTGCGGAAGTGGCTGAGACAAGAGTCAAAAGACTTCCATGCTGCAGGTTTTGACACAATGGTAGTGACGAGACAAGTGAATCGATGTTGGTGGAAGTTATATTGAGAAATATGTGTTTTTTTTTCCAGTTACAAATATCATGTGTTTTATGTTTTATATCCATTTGTGATCTGTTTACTGACTCTCCCTCTTATATGCATAGAGACTTATACTAGTCCTCTCTGCCAGAGGATCTATTAAAATTAATCAGAGACCATTTAAGTTGGGTGGTAGTACTATTTAAAGGACACTGTTACCTAAAATGACACCTTTTCAAACTGGGACTAAAAGATGACCCCACTTGCGAACGGTGCCTAGAAAAAGATGAATCAGCCATAAGCATCCTATGTGATTGTGAGGCTATAGCTTATTTAAGATTTTGCCACTTGGACCAGTTTTTATGGAACCAAGTGACTATTATGATGTCTCCATAAACAAAGTCCCACATTTCATTCAAAGTGTAGGATTGATACAGGGTTAAAAAAAAAGAGGAAGCATAACAGATCATTGAAGGTCGCAGTGCAAGGGCCAGAAGGGCCCACCCCTTATGCATTTACTCATTCCCTCTTACATACTTAACCAGATTGAAGACCACCAAAACATTTTACCTTTGACTTGCTGTATGAGAGTCCCTGCAGTTACCAAGAGTTCAGTGGACTGCAGGGCTGGATACCTCTCCAGGACACTTCTCAATATTCTCAATATCTCTCCAAGTCGTTCATGAACTGCTACACGTAGGGTGTCACTTTTGTCTGAAACTATCTTATATCTCAGCATTTCATATTAGAGTTGTATTATATTTAAGCCATGAATATATGTGACTGCAAAAACGCTCTGTCTCAGCTGGAATTGGTGTTCTCTCAGTGGTGATTATAAGGAGTTACTGCCTTCTGTGGGGTAATGTTATGTGGTCCAGAAGTAAACTAACATTCCTTCAAAATTTTGGTGGGCTTCTATTAGACTACATGGCATTACATTCTAGAAGCTAGCACTCTTTATTCTACCTTACTGCTCTTTCTTAGATTTGTCCTTCAATATTGCCCATACATTTGTACAGTATTTCTCCACAGTACTTAATTTGAAGCATGAAGTTCTTATTTTCTATGATATATGCCAATTGTCACTGCTATACATACCTTGGAATATTTTAATCTTGGGCAGGAGCAAAAGTTCTCAGGAGCATCTGGAGAGCTCCATAATTCAACAAACTTGATGAATTAAAAGTACTCTGGACATTATACAAAAAGGGATGTCAAAATGAATGTATATTTTGGCATGAAGAATAAAAAAGATAGTGGTCTCACCTATTGTACCCAAAATTAAGACAGATGCAATTTGGTATATGGTTACCAAAACTTCCATATTATTTCTCCAAGATTCTTATTGTCAAAGAAATCTCTTCCCCATTGATGTGCCTACCTTATTTTCCAGCTGCTGATTGATAAAGTCCATGATGAATATTCAGTTCTGCTGTCACCTGTGTTGCAGTATTTGGCCATTTTTCGAAAAAAAAAAACCTTCTCAAGGTATGACGATCTATTTCTAACAATTTTGATTTTCCTCCTCTAGTCCTCTTCGCTGATGTCTTCCCATGATTCATGTATGCCGACATAACCTTAGAAACTGTCCTCTCGATACACCTAATAATGTGGCAGTTTTTGTCACAGATGTTCACCAAAACGCGTACCAACGATCTGTCCTCTTTTAAAATCGAACAAGTATCCATTTTTCCGATTCTTTCACGGTGCCTGTCACTCAACACAGTCACTAATACAGTGACTATGGCTCGAAATAATGTAAACAAACAGAACAGAAGAACGTTATGCCAACTGAAGTTCTTTCATGGTAGCCAACACAAATGCTTGGCACAAAAGTTCTAGCTTGATTTTTATTGTGATTTTATTCTTATCTCCCAATGATGGAACCTGTTGTCAGGTGTTTATAGGCTGTTCTCTACTGACCGGTGTTTGTCCAGTGATTGAGACTAGCTCTTTCTAACGGGCCCAACTGAGTAGATCTATCCTGCTCTATCTGCCTGAGGATGGAGACAGATCCAGTCTCCGAAACGTTGTGGTTTTGGGTCTTGTATATCCCAGACGGTGGACAGGGTCCAAAATAAGCCTAATAGTCCTGTACAACATTAATACTGTATTATATTTTTATTAACTTTTCAAGCAAAACTTTTATTTCACAGATATGTATTTGTACTTGACTTGTTCCATATACTGTGGTGTCAACCTGAACTTGGATTTACGGAATGTAAATAAATACAAATCAAGAGATATACATTTCCAGTTCCACTGCGGCTGTGGTGCCCCTCAACAACCTGACACAGTTTTCTTGTTGATTTTCTTATTCTCCAAAAGCTTAGTTATGGTACTAATATTGGCATAAAAAATACGGAATCAGGGTCATATGTATGAAATTTTAATTTGAAAAACTTACCTCTGTCTGCCCAGTCAGGATGGAATATCTTTCGAAGTTTTCCAAGGGACTCCTTGAAATTACGTACATCATGGGTGAGGGCAGCTATTTCTTCTTGTTCCACTAGAGGGCTCTCCATGCTGCCCTCAGAGCTGATGCTGGCCATTGAGATTGAACGGGGGGAACTGATGGCACCTCCCAGCATTCCGCTGTTAGTGGTACTATGCTTGGCTCCATCCATGCTGTGCCTTCAATGTTCCTAATATAGAAATATTTATGATGCATAGAGTTTCATACAACTTGTAATTTGTGTGATTTGTTCATATATCATCTTAGTCACAATTTAGATAATTTCTCATGTGGGTGAACTGAATTTTAATTCTGTAGTTCAGCACCCTGTTGCAAATCTTTAATTAAATGTCTATGTATCCACAGTCTGTAAATAATGCAACAATTATTTATTCATCATTTAACACTTAACACAACATGTTTTGGACATAGATGGCCATCTTCAGGTGTACTAATGCATCCAAACTGTTACACTGCTCTGATGTTCGCCAAAGCTTGGCATTGCAGTCCACTTAAAAATAACATAAATAATTAATTAAAATCCAATAAAATTTTCTATTAAAATTGTTTTCATAAAATTCTATTCCACCTCATAGGGGGCGTAATCCACTTGTTTAGAGCTATGTGATTATTCCAAAAGGTTCGTTTCTGCAGCTTGTTTTTCTGCTTGTTAGCTGTTGTTCTACGTCTGCCCTCTGTAACAGACTAGTGAAGACAGCACCACACGCTGCTAGAGGGAACAACACAAAAGCAAGGGGCATATTGAAGATTGCAGATTCTACATGATTTTGTGTTGGGTATTCTGAACCCAATTCATGGAGAATCCTAATCATATTTACACCAGGGATGGCTAAATCAACTGCCTTCATGTGCTATTGCCCAGTATCTCTGGGCAAATTCGAAAAGCATCTATAACAAACAATGACTATCCCCTTCTTTTTCTGACTGAATAACACAATATTGTTATTTAACTTAGAAACAAGCAATGCACTTTGTACCTATCCAAAATCCAGTCACTCTTCTATGGGTGGATCAGTTCCAAGTGCTCTAAAATGCACATTATATTAATTACACTTAAGAATGTGACAGGCTTTCATCCATCACACACCTGAAATTCAAATCAGAAACAAATTCATAAAAAAATAGGTCAACATAACAAAGATGCCAAGTATAGTGACACTACTTTACAAACAATAAAATCAAATATTGCTTTAACCCCCCCCAAAAAATAAAACTTAAGAATAAACTAACCCCTTCACTAACTCGGTAATAGGGAATATCATCTTCTTTCTCTTATAAAACTCTGAAAGATCCCTCTGCTATTGTTGATTTCTTAGGAGAGTGATTCGCAAACTATGCTGTTTTTGGGGTGCAGATAAATGAATTTTTCTGATAGTGGAACTGATTATTAACACCATCTTCATTAAAATTATAAATCCAAATATTTTTTGATACTCAACAAGTAATATAAGGGGCAATCACATGAAAACGGGTCACCACGCATAACTCACACGGCGCTCAAGTTGGTAACACTGGAATTTGCTTATGGTACGAACATCTGCTGGGGACTCGGGAAAGCACAGTGACAACGTGCCCTTGCACACTAATCGTTTGTTTATTGTGCTGGAAGTAAGGCTAGCCCTACGTGTGGTCGTCCAACATCAGTAATGGAGGCGGGTAAAGAAGAGCAACGAAGAGGAGTGCGCTTTTTGACTGCTGAAGGAGGAGGAGGAGGAAAAGAAATTCATCGTCGCGTGTCTGTTGTTTACGGCGAACAGAGCATGTCACGTTCGCGTGTGCTGGCGTGGCATAAGGGGTTCCGAGAGGGACGTGTATCACTGCAAGATGATGCTCGACCAGGACAGGTTCAACGTGTCATCACTCCTGACGTTATTGCTGCGTTGGATGGTCATATTCGGGCAAACCGACGGATCGCTGTGGAAGAATTTAGTCTTTTGATGGGAATAAATCATGGTTCCGGTACACGCCACTGTGACCAAACACCTGCTGTACCGCAAAATCTGCGCGCAGTGCGTTCCACATCAACTCACGGAGGAACAGAAGACTTAGAGAATGGCTGCATCACTGGGTCACTTGCAACGATACCATGATGAAGAGTACGCTTTTCTGTCCCGTATGGGCACTGGGGACGAAACTTGGTGCCACCATTTTGAACCCGAGAGCAAACAGCAGAGCCAACAGTGGAAACACGTGAATTCTCCCCCACCGAAGAAATCCAAAGCCGTACACACAAGTTCCGGTAAAGTGATTATGACTTTCGACTGCAAGAGCCATCTCCTTGTCGAATTTCTCGGGCATGGGGCCACAGTCAGTGCACAGCGCTATGAAGACACTTTGCAGAAACTGAGACGTGCCATAAAGGCAAAACGCCCTGGAATGCTATCGAACGGCTTTATCCTTCTTCATGATAATGCGCGCCCCCACTGGCAACTCTGTGAGGAATATGCTACAGAGATTTGGTTGGGAAGTGCTTCACCATCCCCCTTACAGCCCAGATCTCTGCCCATGTGATTTTCACATTTTTGGAGACCTGAAGAGAGACATCCGTGGACATCGCTTTGCATCGGACGAAGACGTGTGTGGCTGGGTAAAGATGTGGTTCCGTAGGCAGCCCACAGGCTCTTTCAAGGATGGGATTGATCGTCTTATCTCCCAGTGGGACAAATGTATTTACAGTTTTGGAGATTACTTTTGAGGTAAGAAATGTTCTTTAATATGTTTTGGCTTCTGACCTGTTTTCATTTTACTGCCTCTCATATCTTGTTTTAAACATGGATGACATTGGAAGTAGGCCTGACTTCTGACAGTATCTTTAGAGTAACATATTTTAAGATGTATTTTAATGTAATTATACTATATAATCATGTGGAAGAAATCCAGTTTCCAAAATTTAGAAACAAGTAGTTTATATTTTGGGTTTGACTTATGTAATGTGCTGATATTCGTAAATAAAGAATGTCATTATTTGAAACAGTCATTTTTCAATAATTATGACTCCTATTTTGTTGAATTTTATGTTATAAGAGGCGATCACGGTAGCCAAGCGGTCTAAGACATGAACTGTCTTCGCTCGTTTGGAAGCAGGGATCGTGGTTTCGAATCCCACACAAGGTATGTGTTTAGGTAGAGGCCTTGCGGGAAGCTGATCACTCGTCCAAGGTGTCCTGCCGTCTGTAAAATGATCAAAATGGGGGGGGGGAAATGGCGACACCCTAAGGTATGTTATAAGAAGAACGGATTATGTAGGTTCTATTATGACACAGTATAGCTTAGGAGGTATTTTTTTTTCTTTATTGCTAGTGATGTGGGACTAAGTCCCTTGCACTGCGGCCACTTCTGGCCTGTTGTACCAGCCCCAGATGATAGGTGAGGGTGATTGTGGAGCAATTGGTGGAATGAAGATTGGCAGGGGAAACCGAAGTACTCGGAGAAAACCTGCCCCAGCGCCACTTTGTCAACTACAAATCTCACTTGACCAGACCCGGGATCGAACCCGGGCCGCCGCGGAGGGAACCCAGCGACTAACCGCTTGAGCTATGGCGCGGCCAGCCTAGGATGCAGCTCCCAGCGTATCGGGGAACTTCCTGCCTCCGTTTCCACAGACTGCTCCAGAACACCGGTAAACACCTAGCAGGCCACAAACTCTCATAAAGCTGAAGATCGCAGTGACGAAAGCTGCAGTCTCATGCAAACAACGACGTGCAGCTCGGTCACCAGGTGTCTCTGCATATTCATTGCGAAAGCCCAAGATGAAGACAGCAGCGAACTGATGTAGTTGCATTTGCCAGTGACAAAGGTAAAATCGGTGATTGGCCTCGATATCGGGTGATAAGCGCATCTGCTTTGGCATTCCGGACTTTGTGGTTCAAATCTCTCTCCGGAGGCGGGCTATCCTGACTCAGGCGTTTCTTGGCATTAACTTAGTTTCCTCAGGCACATGTCAAGGTAATATCTCAACTAAAGCTAACCCGCTTCCTTCACGTCCTTTATAATTCAATGTAGATACATAAATACATACACAATCAAATTTGTGAATTATGAAATTCCTGGACTGGAATAAGGGCAGATTGGATGCAATTTCTCAGTACTCACAATCACTGAAAGCAAATGTCATGCTGTGCCCTCTATTTGATATTTACATATCGCCAAATATAGACAGAATTTTAGATTGTGGACATGCACATTATTACTCATGAGACAATCTCAGTGGTTTAAATGGCCGATATATTTATTTCTTCTGTTTTTTTTTAAATAGATATTACATTGTTGCAGAGTGAGATGAATCCCAGATTGTACTTTGGACATGGGAAAAACGAAGTGATCATGGATAGTATTTGGGTGGATGAGGTACGAATTTCTTAGAGACAAACAAACAAGCGGCCTCAAAATTAATAATAATGGTTATAATAACTCAATATAAAGAAAATAAATAAACCAAAATTATATTTCTTGTGAAGGCAGTTGCATGTTATCCAACGCGTTCAATTAGGGTCATTGTATCAAAGTGAGACAGAAATTACATGGATAAATTATGTTAAACTGTGTACGTTCAGACAAATATGAATTGGGTATGAAATATTTAATAAAATTCTCATGGAAGAGACGTTTGGATGAATTTTGGATAGTGTCTATTCGCTACTGTCATGACATTCAAAGAAGTCCTTAATAAAATTGCGTGAAGAATGACAGTAAAATACGTCACTTATTTAGGCAAAGTTAACAGTCAATTAGTTTGTCACTAGCATCTATCTAACTGTGCTGAATTGGAGATTAACTAGTAGCCTTATAAGTTATTTCTGATGGGAATGCTGAAGTAGATGAGTTGTCACAAAAAATCCCTTAACTGAATGTTTTCCTTTTTGTCTTCCATGTTTTTTAATATGAAAGCTTAAGCCACTGACACTTGGTAACATTGGCCCGCACATCCATCTTTTGACACGTCATACTGAACAAATGACTTCTGCCTCTGTCACTTACGATACACATTTCGCTGTGTGATAGTCTCTCGACTTCAAAGCGTTATTTTGCCATAAGCCGTGGACTATTGAGTATTAAGGGACAGTTATAGACAAATAATGTGCATATTTCCTATTCTCAAATTTATTTTCATTTTTGCTTATATGTTCTGCGTCATTCATCATTTTTGTGAAAAAAACCTGAGACTTCATTTAACAACTCGGAAACCTTTTCCGAAAGTAGAACGTTTGCATTTCATCATTAACTGTTTCTGATGTTGTTTACTGTTATCAGATCATTACTAATGACGACTAAACGCAATCATGATATCTCAGTGTGTTTTAACACGTATTGACGTTGTGTGAGAATTATTTTCCATCCTGAAGGAGACAGAAAATAACAACGAAAATATACACACAAGTTTTATATCTCACGTCTTGAATTCCCGACTTCTTCAATAATTTGCACTTACCGTGCTGACGACAAAATGATGTCACACACACACACACTCACGTGAGCATACATAGAGTAGCATGAAATCCTTTGAAAATTTTTGTAAGCAAACATAAATTTATCAAAAATAAACTAACCGTTTCTCTCAAGTTGAAAATAATTTTGGCTTATGAGGGTGTAGTTCACCTCCAGATCTCCACATTTTACTGATGTAAAACAAGCACCAATTCCTGAAACTCTAGAAAGACTTCATAAATCTGTGACATATTTCCAAGTCTCGTTAATCTGAATAACACAAAACATTAAGAATGCGAACCCTAGCGGAGACTGACTGGAGCAGCTAGCCTGACGCCTCTCTTCCTCGCCAGGTCTATCTTTAGACTCATGAAGCAAGCAGCACGCTCCGCGAAATGGACAAATATATGTAGCTCTCGTATTTACTTCTACCCTTTTATAGTGAAAAGGGTATAGTAAGAGAGAAAAGTACTTGCTGGCACAAAATACGAAAATGAACCACAATTTTGCCTCAGGCTTGTAAAAATATGGGTTATTACGGTAAGAAAGTGTGCAATGAATTGCCCCGTAGGAAATTATACACATCATAAATTTATATGAGACATTTCTGCCGTTATACTTTTATATTTTGGCGTGTATCAGTGACTAAAGACGGAGTTCGGATTGGGAATTGGATTTATTGACCACTTACTGATCGTAACTACAATTAATTGTAACACTTCCAAGATTGCTGTAATTATAACACATAAATAAAGTCTTCTAATCACATGTTAAGTTTTCTCAGGCCGACTTCTAATTCTTCTTCTACTACGAAATTAGAGTGGCTATCTCCTATCGAGAACTGACTGATTCGTAGCGCCGACTGTCTTCAAGATAACTCCTCTGCACGGAGCCCACGAAAAGCTCCATCTTCTTTTGTTATGGGTGCGTGTTTACAGTTTCGTTACCTGGCAACAGACGTCCTATTGTTCCGAGCGTTTGCTTGGCGCGGACCATATAGAAAACACAGCTTCCCCTATATTGTCACGTTTTTAAGGGGTGTTTACCGGCCGTCGCATAGAAACGGCCGTTCTTTGCCTGTATTCGTTTCAGTGAGAATGTTTACGGACATTCCTCTACTGTTATAGAAACGGCCCATATGCCACAGTATTGACATTGAAGAGGAAAAAAGAAAGCCATCGAATATAACATATAGTGGTTAGAAATTTAATTTGATGCATAAATTATGCCTTACATGTTTCAGCCATATAAAGCCATCATTAGAGGCTTGTGTGTTAGAGAGATCGTATTTTTTTTTTCCTTGGCATTACAGCCCCAGTGGGCCTAGGCCTACCTCCATGAACTTCTCCGTTCACTTTGGTTTTTCTAGATCTTACACATTCGGTAGGACTCCTTGGGCGGGTGATCAGCTTGTCGCAAGGCCTCTACCTGTACACAAACACAGAAAAACGCACACACACAAACTAAACATCCATACCCTGAGTGGGATTCGAACCCACGATCCCGGTTTCCAAGCGAGCGTGACCGGCAAAGTAATCATATGGTATACATTAATTTCTAGCAGAAATATATATATATATATAAATCCCTTTGTAACTGAGAGTACAGATGCTTCATTTTTCAGGCATATATTTATTGCAAATGGACTTTGTAATTTTTATAATTGTGGCTTCTATTGTTGCTCTTTCTGTTCAGATTTTGTGTAGCACTTCATTCCCCATTCACCCCTTGCTGCGGTGTGGGGTGTGTTGTGATCACATGTAAGCCACATTTTATGCCAAACGTAAAGTTTTTAAGTATGCTATATTGCATTTGATGAGTTTTATTGCTCTATTGTTCAGAACTCATTAGGTAAATTCCTGTTATAAATAATTAAAATGCCATCTACGTATCTGTAGTAATCAATGATTTGATGTTTTTCAAGGATTTTTTAGATGACCGTGTGTTCCAAAATTGTATAAATGTTTCCGCAAGTATAGCTGAAGTGGGTGCACCCATAGCTAATCCATTGTGTTGTTTATACAAGTGACCGTTAAATTGTATGTAATTTTGTTCTAAGATAGTATTAATTAAGCTAAGTGATTCTTTTTTATCTTCTTGCTTAGTATAGTAGTTGCAATCAAGGATATCTTTTATTATTTGTTTTACCTCCATAGTTGGGTGGGGCACGTGGTAACGTAGTTGGTTGAGGCATTATGCTACAAGCCGGAAGGTCGTGGGTTCAAGACCCGATGAGGTCATTGGATTTTTTTCAATTGACCTAATCCTGGCAGCCGCACTATGGCCCTGGGGTCGACTCAGCCTCTAACAGAAATGAGTACCAGGAATATTCTTGGGGGTAAAGGGCAGCCGGTGCGTAGGGCTGGCAACCTTGCGGCCGTCTATGAGCCGACTGTCTAGAAAATGTGGGAACCTCAACATCTCACAACCCTATGGGCCTCCACGGCCTGTTACAGGGATATATTTACTTTCCTTTTACTTACTTTACTTCCATAGTTGGGATAGTTCTGTATATATTGACAAGGTCAAACGAACAGTTTGGTGTTCGTAAATTGTTTCTAATTAACTCCCTTCAAAACTGGATTGATTAGGACATACATGGTAGCAACCACTGAGCACACCTTCCATCAGGAGTGCAGTACCCATTGCATAGAACAGTCCACAGTGCTGTGGGGTTCCCTAGAACTTGTCTAGTCTAGTGTCAGACTTCCGATGCCTGATATCCTTGCAACACGTTAGAAAAATTAATGGTATGCGCAATATGTAGCCAATGTTAGAGAACACATGGTTGAAGTCACTCAGTAGTCCGAACAGATGTGCACAGAGGAAGATGTAGTAGCACAGATCCTGATTCCCTCCCTGGTACAGGACCAACTGATAGGTTAAGACAAGCTGCACAACTGGTGGGCAATGGAACGCAGCAATAATGAGGAGGTTCCAAAGGTACACCTGTGATTTCTTGTGGAATTTGTGAGTCCTTGCATGCCAGGTCCACAAGAGTTACAACAGTTTTTGTTTCGTCACTATTAGCATTGTGGACCACGTCAATGCCAATCCCATCAAATATCAAATAAAAGTGACATCTTGAACTCGTCAGACTACTGCTTGCATCATCTGGCAGACCATTATCCAGTGGTTGCTGACAACACTGCATTGCATGCAGAGCGTGTAGTTGGTGCGATGGGTGGTGGTGGTTGGGGATATGTCAGCTGGGCAGTTGAAGGTGGAGGTGGTGCAGCTGTCGGTTTCACCTCAGGATTGACGTTCTTTGGGTAGGCAAGGGGCGGCCAGGAGTTCTCAACACGTTGCTGCAGCTAGGCACCCATGGCAGACATGGAGGCATCTGTGATGAGTGCAAGTGGCATAAATGTATCAAGGTGTGCCAGTAGAGTGGTATGTGACAAACTGTAATGTTTGTTTGAATCTGGGCAGTTCACACAGCTGAATACAGGATTTGTCAACACTGAATATGCTTTAAGGCTTGTATAAAAGATTGCTTTTACTATCAGAACTGCTTCCAGTGTTTAAAAAAAATGTGAATTCCTTCTTGTTATTCTCTCAACAACGTCAGTTCCTCCGCTCGTCTAGTGAAAACATTCCAATTCCATTCAAGGAATGAAGCAGGCCATTTCTTGTTTGTGGGAAAATTTATGATTGACACTCAACTTTTTGGCAAAGTGATATGTTAGCTGTTTGTTCAGTGCACATCCTGCAGCTCCTAATTGTTGAACAGGCTTGAACAGTCATTCTTTGTTGGCTTGCCCAAAAACACCATGCAGGCCATGACCTGTTTTTTTAAAGTTCCCACTCGCAGTTCAACAACATGAAGTGCTTGCAGAGATTCCATATTACCATTCTGCCTCCCTCTATCTGATTTCCTCAGCCTCTATTCTTTTTACTGCTTCCTGCAGTCTCTCCAGACCACTAACCTCATCAACTGACCTACTCTTTCCATTGGCACTTCAGTGGCATTTCAGTGTCTGTAATCTGCAGGACATATTGCTATACATAGTTGTATTTTACGTCTGCAAGAATAAAATATTTCACAATGCATGGATATCTTATTGGGCCATAGCTCCAAAGATGAGGGAGAGATGCAGCACTCCATCATGTAACTGACAATACAATAGAATTATCTCTGCTATACAAATATTGTGATGTGCTGCCTAAAAGCCGGACTATGGAGCATATTTCAGTGTTCAATCCTGGTCAATGGATATCATTTCCTAGGCAGCGGAATGGACTGCAGCATTGGAATTCTAACAGTAAGTTTCCACGGTTACAATGAATTGTTTGAAGTGTTGTATGACAATGGGAAAACCAAACTGTTGAGAAAGGTGTTCCATAAGCGGTCCACAAAGGACCTATTTAAGGGGGTTGAATGTACCAGACAGTTAGTTGAGTTCTGGAAGTTGCCGAGTACAGTTCAGTTCGCATTTGACCATAGAAGAGTAGCCAGTAGTCAGTTGGCTTTGACTACAGTAGAAGCAGTAATTGTGAATAATTGTATGTGGAAGTGTAGAGGAGATCAGCCAATAAATTTATTTGCTAAATCCGAGACCCGTGTAAATTTATTTGTCATGTTATATAGGCAACACGCAACAATATGTTGAAGGAAAGAGCCTAATGAACTGACAAGAGTATGACAAATTATTTTAGTGAACTTATTTGATGTAAAAGTGATAACAGAGTTGATGTTTAACAGATTTCTCGCACTTCTAAGGGTCTCCATTATAACACAATCAGCTCAGCACCTTGTGTGAAACAACTTTCACATGACTGTCATGTTAGCTGAATGACAGTGTCACTGGATGTGCCTTCATGTAAGAAGACAAAGTTATCAAATACTGCCTCCATAACTTTAACGGTGTGTACACAGCTGAATATGTCACCTACCAAGCTTTTCTGTTCATTCAGCAACAACCCTCACACAGACTCCCTAAGTGTCCTGCAGAGTCTCCAAGGACAGATGCTGGACGATCTGGTTATTTGGAGATTCTGCAGCAAGTGTTCCACCTCCACAACTCATGGAAGGCCATCGATGCTGCTGTGAAAGAAGCACTCTGCTTGGAAGTTCAACCTCAGACTGAGACTTAGGTAGTGATATTTCCGCCTATCTTCACCACACAGTTTTGTCATCATGGTAAAATGAATGGACAGAGACAGATGGCAACAAACTATGAATGGTGAAACCAAATGTGTAGGTGTGGTGATCCTCCCACAGCGTCACTGGAGCTGAGTAAGTTATGGTCATGTGCCTTTGGATTGGTCAAACTTGTCCAGCACACAGTCATCTGTCAAAAGGTGAACCAGCACCCGTCCATAACCACTGACATCCCCCGCACTATTCCACACATCATGCAGGAATGCCCGTTTTATGATCAGAAAGGAAAAACATTCTATTCTTCTGGCACAATGCAGGACATCCTAGGAAATGATTTCAGTAACATATCTAACATTGGATATAATAACATGTAGAACATGGGCAGTCTACGTAACAACTTCTAAACAATTGTGACCTAAAAACCAGGTGAAGAAATGTTGGATTTTAGGTCCATATAACAGGACTATGAAGAGTATGGTCTTCTGACCTGTGATGCCATGTACTTCAGAGAGCTAACCATGTCACCTGCTTCTGTTCCTTTCTTGCTTGACTTACTCTTCAACCCTGAAGATGGAGGCAGTACATTCATCTGAATGATCAGGCTCTCTCTGAACTACACAGTATCAAAACCCAGAAGACAATATTCTTCAAATGGAAATGGCACTTGTAATTTTAAGAAGTACTGAAGTTGCCACATTAAGTGGGTCCCTTGTCACCATGGCATGGCGAGTCCTCGGGCTGTGGCCGGAGGAGACAGCCTTCGAATATGGAGTGTAGCTACAAATATATAGAATAAGCAGTTGCTGACAGATGACAAGGAATGGTCCTCCAGCTTGGGGGTTGGGTGTGGGGCTAACAACTCCTCACCATAAAAATAAGTTGGTTACGAAATGCTATAAAGGGCCTAGGACTTAGATGGATTCCTTGGATAGATGGCTTAAGATATGGAAAATGGATACGATACTTCATGCAGGGAATGCAAGAAGACTGTATAGGGTATGTTCACTCATAACAACTGCAAAAGGAATATCAAAATGTAAGTTAGATTTAGTGGGAGTCCAGGAGGTCAGATGGGACAGGGGTGGCACTGAACCAACAGGCAAATATACATTTTTCTATGGAAAGAGGAATCAAAATCATNCGGTTAACACCACATTTACACGGTGCCAAATCCCAGAAGACTGCTTTCTTCATAGTCACCGCCGTGAAAGCCTCAAATCTTACATGAATTAGGTAGTTTTTTCTACATAAGATAATCATGTAAGCAGTTAAGAGGGTTGAGTTTGTTAGTGACAGAATGTTGTTCATAATACTAAGAGGTCGCTGCTGTGATATCATTGTTCTGAATGTTCATGCCCCAACAAAAGATAAAATTGATGATACTGTCATATGTATTAGTAACTAATTACATGGGTTCTGGATTGGATGAACGGGTTTATTTACTCCTTATACACACCACCAGTAATTACATGTAATTATAGCGCTATCACTATTTCTACACTTCATAGTTCACTGTTACACACATACACACATACACACACACACACACACACACACCAGTTGTCTCCTGGTAACATAATTAAAACACAGGAACTGTAACAGTTTCACTGAATTACACGCTCCAAATATTATACATAAAGTCCTCTTTTCGCAGCTGCACTCTTGCAACTAATTCTTAACTCTTTCCCACGACAGCTTCGTGTCCTTGACTTATGGTTTCTCAGCTGCAACTACTTGCAAACAACACTCTGTTGTCCCGTATAAAACTTCAGAAAGGACCACGCATAAAAAACACCTTCTATTATTGTAGATGTGTTTACAGTTCTGTTGCCTAGCATTAGGCAAGGTGAGGACCACACTGAAAACACACGTCACGTGTTTGCTAAATCACCAGTCCACTGGCGTGCTGACTGCTGCCTCACATTGAGCTATAACATTCGTTCTATTGTTGCGTGTGCATATCGCAGGATGTTTATTGAGCCATTGCCTGGCAATGTGTTGGCATGTCAGAATATGTAGAACAGCTCCTACGAGGAACTAGAATGTGTATTCAATAAATTCCTTAAATACGACACGAATTCTGTTAGGAGATTTCAATGCCAAAGCAGGTAGAGAAGACATTTTCCAACCAACAGTTGGGAGTGAGAGTTTACACAACATTACTAATGATGATGTAATCACATTGGTAATCTTCGCCACATCCAGATATGTAACTGTCGAAAGTACGATGTTCCCACATCATAACAGGCATAAAATTACTTGACTCACAATTAAATTTACTATATTTTGAGAGACAGGAGATGAGATTCAAGTGTACTCAATGTCTGATCATTCAAGGTAGCAGATTGTGATGCTGGCCATTATCTGGCGATGGCAAAAGTTAGGGAAAGACTGCAACGAGTAAATGAAATTCATCAAGGCAGTGTGCAACATGCCGTTCTGTGTGTAAGATGCAACAGACAAGTGGATCTGTCGGGAGTTAGCAGCACTACCTAGACTCTGATGATCACGAGTCCAGGTACACCATACCACACTTAACCTCAAAATCAGAACAGTTTTTTTGTGAAATACTACAGCATATCATTGCAAATATAATCTGACTCGTTGCATATAAAGAACTATTTCACTTTTATTATCAAAATCAGAATATTATACTGGTTTTAATGCTCAAATTTTGAGTTTGAAAGTTAGCCAAGCTGATCTGAGAACACTTTATTTTCTCTACAACTAAAATTTGAAACATTTGGTCTACTACACAACTGGACTTGATATTATTTAATGAGAGTCCTGACTTGTTTTATATATGTTTTGTGTGAAAAGATAAACCAGAGATACCCTGGAATAATAATTAACATAATTATATGAATATTATTTTTACAGTGCAATTACATACTTTACATGAAAACATGTATTATTTGCTTTATTTTTGTTTCTTTTCAGAAGAAAGGTAAATAAAATACAGATTCCTTGAGCCCAATAATTTGTAAAAAAACTGTTAAGGAAGCAGTTAATCTAACTGTATTAACTCAGTTGCCTGTAAGGCAGTTGTAGTTGGACAGCACGAATGACAACCTCAGCCATACTGAATCTGAGCTACCTTACAGAGGTTACCTAAAAACCTTTCAGATTACCTTATTCTCAATTAAGAGGTTAATTATTCTTATTAATCACTGGTGAATGGACTAGGCAGCCATCTTTGCATTAACAGCTGTGTGATAGTGGTCAGTAGGTTGGAAGCAGTACACCATCAAGATGCATGGGAGAATGGAGGTACAGAGCCAAGCATTCTCAACCTTCGCTCTTTATATTCAAGCCACGGTCACTTTATCTCCAGCACTGACAGAATTCGAGGCTGGGTGGGCCCCCAAATTTGTCTAACACTCTGAAAAGAGTAACCTGTCGTGCCTCTACCAGGAAGCAAATCTCAATTCATTGGTCACCTAATCTGTAGCCTAATCACTACACTGACAACAACAAAAACTTCTTAAATTCTGAACTTCAAAATTATAACATCTATGTTGTCCGTGAGAAGAATGTTTAGCATTCAAAATCATGCAGACCTTTCTTAGATACTCTGTATTATCAACAATTTGTATGACCTATCATATCACGACAAGATATGCAAGTGAAGTTACATATAATTTGCTCTGGAATTTTTAAACCTGATTTCAGTCAGACGACTTGCACGTCTCTATAATTGATTGTTTAACATTTGGTACATGGCTGTCTTTTTAATTCTGAAGGCTGTAAGTTTCGACCTACCATTCTTCATATAAAAATATCCGACAGCTGTCTACACACTGTACAAGACAATACAATTTCTCAAACATATATCAGACATCACCACCTAATATATAAAAACATGGTGACTGTTTTCTTCCACTGTAATATATATATATATAAAAAAAATAAAAATCACGGGGTAAAAATAGGCTTCCACAGGAAATATCACCAAAACTGACTGGTCCAGCTTATGAAAAAACAATAAAAAACTTACGAATGTAACATAATGATCATGTACCCAGCAGATACATGCTTACCACCAGGGCCACAGCACTCGCATCTCACACACGCAAAATTTCCAGTGCTTTATTATAACAAATTGCAATCCAGTCTGGCTGTGTTGCTCCCCACTGTATCTGATTGATCTCCCCTTCTGCTGCAGTGTAGGCTAGGATGGGATCCTCAATGGCTCTTGGCATCTGCTGAATGTCCCAGATTAGGGCCTGATGGTCATCACCTATAAATTATTTAAGCAGATCTTGTTAACTGTCCTTCCATACCTACCACAATCTGTATAAAAGATTCTAGTCAAGTTCTGATATCCAAACATAACATAAGTTATGTGTTAAGATTCTTTAATCATATGGGACAACATAATTGCTCCTTAAAATGTGAGAGTTTCAACATTCTGAATGCCATTTTAAAGTTTAATGAAGACAACTGAAGACCCAGAAGTAGATTGTAATATCAGTTTTAAAAATTGTGAATCCCAGAATGGGTTCATAGCACCAAATCCTTAAGTCAGAAAAAGGACAGGAAATAGTTACTATAGCCTGAGGGTTTACAGAGAATTTAATTTAGCCGGATTAAAACACTTTTTTTTAAATAATCCATTAGAATTATGAAACTATCAGAAATTCACAAACCACTTAAGCGATTACATGCTGCATGATTTGCAAGTCACATACGTACAAAGGGTTATATTCATTATTACACTGCACCAGATCTCAACACACTGAAAATTCTTCCAGAAACATGGATTTCCTGCACACTCCTGCAACAGCATAATGCTTCCATAGCCTGCCCTACTTTTGGGATGCTGCTACTATAATCCAACACTGGTTGTAATGTCTTCACTACTGTTGTTTAATTATCACGTCTAAGCGAATAAGTGAAAAGCCTGAACATAATTGTAGGTGTACACTTTGATAAGACTGTGTATTTACTGTGGGATTTATGATCACATCCTCTGTTAGCTAATTGTCCAGCTTTTCAACATCATAGCCCACTTCCTGTCTAGACCCTGCCTTCAAGACATGAAAGGGAACAGAACAACCCTCAAATACATCAGGTTGAACCTATGAAATATATAATCATTACCAACTTATGAATGCTGTAACATGTGGAACACACAGGAACTGTAATGAAAATATGAGGGCGGTTCAAGGTTAATCTGAACTTTATTATTTTCCAAGAAGATGTGGGCACCAGAAAAATAAAACTCTTTTATTGACAGTTGTTGGCAACACTGAACTCACTGATTCACAGGTGGTCATGTGCCCCACTTGGGTGAATTAGAGCTACCACAAGAGGGCACCAAACCTTGTCACTCCTAGTGAGAACAGTGATGTATCATCACATTCCTACTCAACCTACATAAATCCTTCATAGGTTGAATGCACATTACAGGGAAGAGACCGTGTCTATGATTGCCAAGATACAGACAAGTGTGCTTTGTGGTTCAGGAATGATTAATTTTAATTCTCTTTAAAATGGTGGAAAAATTAATGTACAGTATTACAGTAACTTGGTTTGCAATGATGTGCATCAAGTGTTTTGTAAGAAGAAACCCAGGAAACTGTCACAGAAGATCATCCTACTGCATGACAATGCCTGTCTACATACAGCAATAAGCCAAGCAGGTAGCCACCTGTTTTCACACTTGTATCTCGCTCAGCTTATTCCACCTTGAAGATGGAGGCGATAAGTTCCTCCAAAATTTCAGTTGACTTTCAACGGACTACATGGCATTATATCCCAGAAGATTGTACCTTTCATGTATCACATGTTAATAACTTTTCATGCCTCTGTTTTTACAGGACTTGGAGGATGAGACAGCCAAACAAGAGATGTAGATGAATCAAAGCACATAGTCTTATGAATACCCAACATGTACTTGGCATACAGACTTCATGCTTTTTTATTTGTATGGCATATCAACATACCAGCTGTGCAGATGTGGCAGGAAGAATGTGGTGCCCATGCAATGCCATTAACGCAGGCACGATGGTTATTGAGACGAGCCACTGGGGTACATGGCACCCTTACGTCTAGAATTATAACCTGCAACAAAGAGGGAAGGAGGTATGTCACCAGATACCCATGTATCAGTGGAGAGCCTTGACATGCAAGCAAAAACTATCAATCAATGGCTCCCTTTGTTGGTCCTTGGCAACCTTTTAAGTTTCTTGAGCTTTTAAACAGTCTGCTGGACTCCTTAAACAGGGGATCAGCCTGAGGAGGTGAAGACAGTTCATGCCACTGTGATCAGAACCACACAGCAACTGGTGCCTTAAAATTACTATCGACATTGAAAGCATAGTGTAGAAACTGAATAATTTTCAATTTTACCCTTGCTTAAAAATCACAACACATTTGTTTCTTTACTTAATTTCATTAGATTAGCCTTTATCAGCCATATGTGCAGCATTATTGTGTCAGCTCATCTGTGGTCCGGCTGACTGTGAAATAGCATTATGTCACCAACACACCCCTTTCTTTTGAGACAGTCTATAGCAAGTATGACATTGTATTTTTTCCACTGCTCTGCCATGAGGATTCATTGCGCTGACCACTCAACACCCTCTTTCTGCTAAATTTGGCACTAACTTGGGCGACAAGCAGCGGTCGCTCAGTTGGTGTAGTTGGCTGAGGTACTATGCTACAAGCTGCAAAGTTGCGAATTTGAATCCTGATGAGGTAATTTTTTCAACTGACCTAATCATTCCAGCCACATTATTGCCCTGGGGTTGACCAAACCTTTAACAGAAATTAGTACCAGGAATCTTCCTGGGGGTAAAGGGCAGCTGGCACATAAGGCTGACAACTTCACCGCCAGCTGTGAGCTGACTGTCTAGATAATGTGGAGCCCTCAACGTCTCAAAACCCTATGGGCCTCATGGCCTGTTGCAGGGACAGCTTTACTGTGTTGGGTGGTAAAAGACGAAAAGCCCAGTGATAACTGGCCATCTGCTCAGATACATATTATGCTGGATAGGTATTATAAGTGCTGCTGAAATGTAATGATCAGATTGAGAATATTTGTATCAGTTTGTGGCTTGTGAAATAAACCGGCTTTAATCATGCCTGGTCCAAAATCAGTGCCAAACCCTGTTTGCGAAGTAGTACATTGTTACTGCTCCCACTTATCGCCTATTAGCAACCATGTGACAAAGAGTTATTCCACTCTCTCCTAAGAGCAGAGCAGTCTGGCAAACCAACGAGAGAAGCAGACACTGGCAGAGTGCTACAGCATGGTCCAAGCCACTAAAGATGATAATGCTGGTATGATGACGAGATAATGAGTAAGTTATAAACATTGGCCCTAGATGGATCACCCTTAGTCTGAAAGAACCAGGCTGCAGTAACACCTTACCCATGTCATCATTCAGTCAATATGTCACTCTCACTTGTTCAAAGTTTTTTCAATTCTGAGACAGGAGCATATGAATAAGTCAGAAGGAAGACAAAAATAAATAGAAAACAAACATCTTCTTGCATGTCTGCAAATGGAGCAAGTGAAGGTAGGGGCTGGGATAGGAGGTAACCATTGTAAGAAGTGCTAAACAGCAATGTCCTACTAGTATTATTAGGCTAGTAAGAAACTAAGCGAAAGAAATAAAAGGTTTCTCATATGTTTACAGTTGAGAGATTGTGAGAATGTGTGGAGTGTAGGCCACCATGAGGACCACCGAACAGATAATTTCAAAACACTCAGTCTCACTTAACAGAACCGTCAGAAGAGAGAAAGAAGTATTATAAGATGAGGAGTATCAATGGTTCATAAAGAAATCTAAAATTCTCGTCAAAACACAACAGCCATCACATAAAAAAACATTTCACCCTGCAGCAAAGCTACTCATGTCCTACAGGTCTACTAAAATATAACAATAAAATGCATGACTGCAACTGGAACTGAAGAGATATACTGCACTTATATGCATAATTTATTCATATTTTAACCTAAAAAATTGGAAATTGTGGTCCAAAAAATATGCAAAAACTACTTTTCAAAGTATAATTTTATGTGTTAGACTGAGGTAATTATAACTGAATGTGTTCTGGCAACACATTATGAATGTTTGCACCTATGAACTCCACCACAATTCCTTCAGGAACATCAAAATGAAAATTCCTGTTGATAAAATTCTGATTAATGCTTAATTTTTGCAGAAAATGCAACAAATGTGAATGTAAGGTGGTAACACAGTATGGATATTCACATCTACATAATCCACCGTGCGGTTCCTTCAATACTGAGATGAAAATGCCCCTGGACAAGATGTAACATATAATAAATATATATAATTTTCTTTCACATGGATACTCTGCCATGATACTACATGAACTCACTTCACATGCATCCATGGCAACTGTGGCTAAATAATTGGGATCCTGTTTGTTCCATGCAAGACGCAGAAGTGGCGTGTGCTGTGGATCTTCATAGATAATGGTGGAATGCTCCAAGTGTCGAAGGTCAAACATCCTCACTGATCCGTCAGCACCTTCGTAAAACAAAACAGACATTTCTCATGACTGTAAGACCACTAGTGGTAACACTATCAAAGAAACTGAATCCAAAGCAGCAACTACAATGCTGTGGTCCATGTCACTGTAAGGAAAGATGCCAACAAGGGACCTATGGGACAAACCAGGGAAGGATGGTACAGACAGGTACTAGAAACCATCAAGAACAGTTGAAAAAAGCTGGCAAGAAATCAAAAAGGAAAGATTGTGAGAAGAGAGAAGATACTGGAGTCTTTAATTTCATCAATCCTCAAGGGTGGGTAGTCAAAGTGTAAAATATGGTCATCAGTCCTGTGGGACTTGGAACCAAGAATCACTGTGCTGGCAAGGGCCAGCAGCAATTTAACAGTAAGTCAGTCAGTGCCGGGATCAGCCATGATGGAACACATCCTCAAGGGCCCCCTATATCTAAGCCCACAGCCTAGTAACATGTTTGTGAGGACAGAGCCAACAAAGTACCAAGAAGTGATATAACAGACTGCAAAATGATATGGAATATTTGTGGAAGAAGAGAAATCAAAGTCCATTAAACCCAATTACCAACCAGATCCGGGAGTATAGTCACGTATCACATGACAACATACCTCACTGTCTCAACCCCCCCCCCCCACTTTCTCATTCTAAAGAAAGAACAGGGAAGACCAAAGACTGGAGTGCAAAGTTTATTCTGTTAGAGTAATGACTCCAAGAGAATGATCAGCTGTAGTGTACAAGTGGATGTTAGTCTGTGAGGTAGTTTGCATGTGTTTTGTTACACATGAGTACATAAGGCATGGATATACCATGCAGAGTATACAACATAAATTAGACAACACAAGAACAGTAACAATCGACATCCTGGAAATAAGGCAGAAGATAAATTCATGCTTAAGGAACAATTAACACAAAATAGTCTAACCAATAATCGCAGAATCAGACGAAAAGTTCCACGGCCTCCTACAGCAAAGACACCAAGCTGAATACAGCACATGACATTTTTAAATTAATTTAAAATCAACTTTTAATCTTCAACTTCTAGTTCCATATCTTATATTTAAATCAAAATCTAGATGCTAGAATATAAATGGACATAGGAAGTAGTCATTTTAAGCCTATGTATGTATATATGTATACATGCTTTACAATTCAATAATGAAAATGTGTAAATCACAAAACCTGAGGATGACCCTATAAGGGTCAAAACATGCAGTGGAACATAAGTTAATAAATTATAGTTGCATTGATGATGGAATTTGTATTATCAGTTATATTCAAATAAAAGGATGCAAACCTTAAAAATACCTTTCGTAATTAATTAAAACTGAAAATAATTCAAGAAGCTGAATAAATAAGAAATATTGCTGCTGGTACAAAATACATTAGTGAAGTCTCTTGAGAGAGTGGAGAAAGAAGACAAGAGTCGATGCTTCAGAGCAATGGTAGCCAGAGGCATTTCATGGCAAAAATAAAAGTGAAATATCCTGAAACGGAGAAAAAGTTCAGTGAATATATGGCAAGCAGCAGCTTGGACGTTTGGTATCATCTGAAATGTTTCATGTAAAATGTACAAACCTCAGCAATGGCAAAACAATAACGAATCCAAGGTTATAAGACAAGCTGGGGATCAATGATGGGGTTTCTGTGGAAAGAATGATGGTCCCCTAGTTCCTGAATAGTATGAGGCTGAAGCAGGGATAAATGAAGAACACTATGTACAATTTCAACACAATATGCACTCTATGTTGTCTTTCACTTGACAAGCATACTTTACTGCTTTAATGAATTCACATAATCTTTCTTCAGCACCTTCCTCCTACAAAAATGGTGCATACAGTGTATTCCAGTACTTCAAGAAAATGAAATATTTCTTCCTGGTGTTCACAATAAAAGCATACCCTCTTATTATTACGCTGATGGAGCTAAATGAGTCTCATGGCAGATATGTAAACTGAGTCCATTCTAATGCTTTCCAACATCATGAACAAAATAAGGAAAGCTTTGCATGGGTATATTACCTTCACTTAAATTACTTAAAAACTATCAACACTCACCAACTGAAGCAAACATGTCGCGCCCACCACCAGCCCGACTAAAAGCTATATCGTATACCTCTTTATCATGGGCTATAAGCTGTGTCTTCACATGGCCAGTAACCAGGTTCACACGTCCCAACACCTGCAGAAATGGAACTTACCTAAGTTAGGGGCATTGCATCAATTAGGACACTGAAGTGTAATGCGACAAAAAAAAAAAAAACATTTTACAGAGTATCTGCATGAAATCAGAGGGTCATATCTTCATAACAAAACAAGAATTCATAAATTAAGCAAAACTTATCAGACTATGTCACTTAAAAATAAATAAGTAAACACAATGAGATGAGTAATGTATGACATTACATTCAGAAAATAAAGCTAAATCAGCCTCTCTTAGAACTACTTAGTCGATGCTTAGTAATATTCATGTCATAGCTTCTCAGTTATCATGGTTTATGCAATGTGGGCAATTGCCAGTTTTCTAATTAATTAATTGTCGATTGGTTCCGGAAAAGTATAAAGGTTTATACAACAGGGCATGCTTCTTTCTGTATAGGTGTTTAAATCTGCAGAGGCAGGCAATCCCTGAATAAGTCTCAATTAATCCATTAATTTTCATGAAGCTTGATGGGAAGGACCCACTATTGCAGCCCACTCCAAATCCATACTTTTAAAACAATTACAAGATGGTGGTCATCTAGAAATTTAATGTCAGAGTGAAACCACATCAAAGTAGGAGAGTGAAAATTTGTATAAAAATGATTTCTAAAATTATGGATACTCTATTAAGTACCTAATATCAGAAAGTGGAAGAAATGCTAAATAAATTTTAAAACATTTTTAACTGATGACAACTGATGAATCATTATATTTATCAGCACAAGAAATATGGTACGGTGGTACATTAAAGCTTGCTTAATTTGACAGTATTTTCTTGTGCGTTGAAAAGTACCAGAATGTTAATAGAGAAAACCTTTGGAGACAATGTGTTCCAAAAAATTATACCTAGTTTTCACTGCATTAGCTTCAGTCCAATTTTGTTTACAATTTAATCCTGGGTTTCTGAAATGGGGATTCTTCATAATAGTTATTAATCAAGAGCAGTGCATCCAAGTTCCTCTGAAAAGCTTCAATAACAGGTATAAAACTTCTTAGTTTTTATTAATTCTACACATCCTTGAGGTCCAGATAAAAACAAAAGAAACATACACTATCTAAACAAGTCAATCTTTTAATCTTGCACCCAGGTGACATTCAGAACCTGCAAACATTCCACTCAGCAACATAATTTGAAGGTTAATTTGCTGATGAGCAGAAGAACTGATAGATTTATATTCTGACATGCCCTTAACTGAACAGCTTCTGTGGCACTGAACAGAAAGATAACTGAGAATATTGAATTTGGATGGATGTGGAGGAATGCAGTTATGTCTCAGTCTACTTTTCCATGAGTTGCCTGAAGAGACAGGAAAACAATGAAACCCTTCAATCAGGACAGATTTCTTTTGAGTTGTGAACAGAACCCAGGTCCTCCCAAATATGAAGATCTAATGCTAACCACTTTGATGTCTGCTAATACATTCTGGATGACAACTTTTTGACTCTTGAGAACATACAATAGAGACCTGATACCAGATATTTAATCAGAAAAGGAGCAGTAAAACATACATATATATTCATGCAAACATAATGACAGATCAGTACAACTCACCTGTCCAGTTTCTAAGCCCCAGATTGTGCAAGTTGTGTCGATACTGGAGGTTCCTATCAGATTTGGATCTACTTCATTCCAGTCAAATGATGTAAGAGGTGCACAGAAATCTGAATTCTTATTCTGGAACAATGTTTCATACAAAATAAGAAAAGACAAAGCAGCCCAGGCCTACTACTGCCGCTATTTGTTTTAAGATCAATTTTAGAAACGTAGGTCTCATTTATCTACTTCCAAAGAAATTAACTGAAGACTTGCATAAGTGTTGTAAACATATGAGAATTGAGAAGTTGTGCAACATTTCGTTTTTGAGCTACAGGTTCACTTTAAATCTAAAATTAGAAGGCAGACTATCCCACTGCACTCCTATTTCTTTCTTCAGTATATGACACATGCAGAATATCTGACCAGAAGTATTGACATTGATGATACACAATAACTTCTCTACTCAGCTGGAAATCTGGCTGATCAACACAAAAAAGAAAAAGGAAATTTCATAAATACAAAACAAACGGCTGACTTAACCCAAATTATCCTGTTACTTGTTGGTTTCCTAACTGACAAGCGGAAACCATATGAACAAATTTATACACTGAACCGGCTTATTGGATTGATCACATGAGCCACTTGTTTCCAACACACATTATTCTGTTCAATTTGTAACAGCCTAGTTTAAGCTCATCTTTTACTCCAACCTTCATAAACCCACAGGGCAGACTCTAATTTTAGTATGAGACCCTGTTCCAGACTAAGTTTGTGTTACATGTTAATTCCCTTTCTTTCTGTTCTTGGTAAAGTAGTGTGGTACAGTGCCTAGATGGTAAGAACTTTGGAGTCAGAGAAACATCACAGATATCCACTGCTATACAACAGCTGAAGAATGTTGGGGGCATTTTCCCACTGCCCCATAGCAAAGTACATAAAGACAGGTAATGAGACCAAAATCAAGAATGACTGTGCTGCCATAGGCCAATAGCAATCTACATGACCATCTGACTGACTACACCCAGAGCCATCAAGCATGGAAACATTAGGGACAGTCCCTGTTATTGGAGGCCATAAAGAAGCAATGACTTTGTGAAGACTGGAAAGACTTGAAATGTGCTGTAGTTATTTGCATATTGTGAAGAGCAATAAAAGTATCATAATTATCTGTTCTTAAGGGTGATAAGCATAACATAAATTCAGTTATCAATCCAAACTAAGTCTAGTCACTGACATGTGACAATTGGTGTCTGCAGTTTATGGATTCTAGGCTAGAAATGGATCCTGTGCCACAGCTGATGCTGCACCTGCCCATGGACCAGTAGGAAACGTCTATTAACCAAGAGAAGATCCAATGGCACGAAGGCCTGCAAAGAAAAGATGAGAGCTGACATGAAGGCCAACTGGGAAGAGATAAAGGTCACCATAAGGGATGGCCAAGAAAAGCTGGAGGCTACAGTAAATGCCATCTGGTATGCAGATATGGAACTCAAAGAAACCATATAACCAAGTGACTGAGGTACCTCAACACTGACATTCAAGAGACATAACTAAATGTAAAAGTGATGAGGATGTTTCCTGATGAATGAATCCAGAGCCTCTGCAAGGAACTTATCAGCAAGATGCAGGGAAAGGAGGAGGCCCCCTGCAAGGAACTTAGGAGCAATATATGGGGGATGAAAAAGAAACTTCACACAGAATTTTACACGGAGATCCAAGCAATAAGACTACACATATAAGTTACAAAGACACTGATAGAGGCCACACACAGGAAATTAGGAACATGCTTGGAAGAGGTCAAGGTCTGAGTGGGATGTGGAGGCTGAGGGAACACAGTAACTGGCATAGGTAGGGTTAAACCACTGAGTTTCAGTGGGCCATGATCTGGACCATGTCCCATGGCCAGTTTGAGGCTGTGCTGGAGCAGAACAACTGGGCACCCTAAGAGAAAGGTATGCACTTACATTATGTCCTGCAGGGCAAGCTGTCAGTAGTCTACACAGTGTCCCTGCAGAAGCAGAATACAAAGACATTACTGAGGCACATGAGTGTTGCTATGGAGACCACCAACTGACCATGCCATACAATTCCCAGCTGAAAACAAGGACCCAACTCTCCGGTGATTCTATACAAGGGTCTGCAGCCACCTTCAAGCAGCTGTTCCACTGGGCCCTTGCTGGGCTGTCTCAAAACTCCATCCATAGGGCAGCAGCTCATGTATTTGTTGATGGGATAAGGACCTGAGAAGGGCAGTTCTCCCTTCTCATGGATGATGAGTGAACACTGAACAAGACCCTAAGCCAGGCCCTGAGGTTGGAGCCTGTGAAGGCCACACTCTGGCTGTCAGCAAGGCTACACATTGTAAGGGCTGGAGTGTCCTTGGAGAAACAGCTGCCAGAGACAGAGACAGAGAATAGTAGGACAGGGTAACCCACATGCTGACAATGTGTGGGAATCAGCCATCTTATGAGAGAATGCTGACACACGTCCCTAAAATGACTGCCTTGAAGGCGGTCAATCAACACTTAAGAAATGAGTAGAGGACATGAAAAATGTCCTTTTACACACTTCACATGTCAACAAGGAAGGGTGATGACAGCTTAAAGATGGAGGGACAGATAGGTTACAAGTCTGTCTCCTGCCCATCAATACTGGAGCCTCAGTAACAATTGTTCAGACTGGACATCACTGCAGGGCTGCTTGAGAGAAAATTGACCCGGCCATATGTCCTGCAGATGGTGTCAAGGAAGACCCTCCCTATCTTGAAGGAAGCACTAGCAGAGCTGACACTGGGGCAGTGTCCACTGACAACTTGGCTGTTTGTCACCGAAGTCACATCCTGGGACTGGATGATTTGCGTAACCACAATGCATCCATGGATTTGAGAGATGTGCTGCAACAGGGTGAAGAAGTACCACTGTGACCTCCAGGAGTATGACTACACTCATAATCTCATGTGAAGTGGTAGAGACTTGGCGTGGAGTCGTGACAGTGCAGCTAGAAGGTGTACCACAGGCAATGGATAATCTAGCTGGACCAGGTTCCAATGCTGCAAACTGAGCTGGTGTGCCCAGGTGGTGAATGCCATGTTAATCCTCCCACAAACTGCCAGTTAGGACAGATGGAAACTGTTGGCAGAGGAAGCACACTAATGGCAGGGCACCCCCAAAAGGAGAAAGACAGGTGGAATGTACTGCTCTCTGGAGGAGGAGGATCGAAATGACAACATACAGCCAACTTTACAAGAAATGAAGGCTGGATGATGTCCAAAGTGGAAGAACTGGGTCTAGTGCAGCGCAGTGACATCATTCAAAAGGGTGGTCACAGACAAAACAGGGAGAACCTATACCTGTAAGCTTCTCAGAACAAGCAGCCTTAAGGAGGGAGCACTGTGACATGACACCCAAAGTCAAAGTTCTGGAGTCAGAGAACTATGGCAGAGATGAAAATTGCTGTGCAACAGCCTCTTGAAACATGTTTCCATGGTAATGAATAGGAACACAACAGAAGAGGAACTATGGGGACAGTGTTTTCCCATCGGTCTGTAACAACAACCAGCGAGACTCAGATCAATAGCTGTCAAGCAAGGAAACATGAAGACTCCATTATTGGAAGCTGTATCAAGCAATGAGCATGTGACTTGACATGTACTGCAGGTCCCTGCAGACTGTGAAGAGTATCAGAAGTGTGCCAATTACTTGTATTTATAAGTGAGTATCCGATAAACTCAATTATTAGTTTGAACCCTGTGTCTACTCACTAGCACATAAGAGTAGTAACCCTGCTATCCTACTGTTCTCTTAACTACGGTGCTAACATTACATTTGTGTGTCCTCTCACTTGTGTCTTGAGACACACTGACCTGACTATCTTGGGAACATAGTTCTGGCTCCCCACCGCTGCGGCCCGGGTTCGACCCCAGGTCTGGTCAAGGGGGATTTGTGGGGGACAAAGTGGCGCTGGGGCACGTTTTCTCGGAGTACTTCGGTTTCCCCTGCCAATCTTCATTCCACCAATTGCTCCACAAACACCCTCACCTATTATCTGGGGCTGGTACAATAGGCCAGAAGTGGCTGCAGTACAAGGGACTTAGTCCCACCCCACCAGCGAAATCTTGGAAACATGATGCTGGCCTTCCTGATAACTACACAGTAACTGATTAAGAAGGTGGCTTAATGCTTCAATGGATGTGTTCCCTTTGTGTTGTTACATAAGGTCTCACAGATGCACAATGGATCTAAATCTGGCAGTAAGTATTTTATATGAATGAGGACAATATTTTAAACTTTTATATATATGTCACACAAAATGATATGGTAATGTGACATATTCGCTCAAAGCGAGAACTGTGGAGTCACAACAGCAAGCCGTTACCAGGCACTGAGCTTTAACAACAAAGGAATGGTGTTTTCTGTGCAGTCCATGCTGATGACTGTGCATGCAACAATGGAATATGTTATGACTGCACAGCAAAAGAGCAACAGAGCAAGTGGTGTTCTCTACACGGTCTATACTGAGATACTATAAACAGGATGAGTTTGCAGTCAGTCAATTAGAGGACTGCTGGGGTTCAGCCATTGTGATCTGTTGCTGTCAGAAGCTGGCAGCTGAGACCAGGGACACTTGGTGAATCCAGATGAAGGAAAACGTCTGCCATTGGAAGCTGCTACCAAGCAGTGCATTGAAAACTGTGACTGAGTACACTAGTCCTTGTGTGATAGTGATTTGTAATGGATAGTCACAAGTTGTGTGTTAAAGGGTCCAAAAAAACCCACTTATCAATTTGAGACCCATCTACAGTCACACGCTCTAACACGTGACATTATTAACAAATTCTTTTTCCTTAGTGGGATGGGACTAAGTCCGCTTGGTAGTGTGGCCACTTCTGGCCTATTTTACCAGCTCTAGATGATAAATGAGGGTGACTGTGGAACATTGGTGGAGTGAAGATTGGCAGGGGAAACCGAAGTACTCGAAGAAAACCTGCCCCAGCACCATTTTGTCCACCACAAAACCCACATGACCAGACCAGGGTTTGGACCTGGGCCACTGCAGTGGGAAGCCAGCGAGTAACCGCTTGAGCTATGGCGTGGCCTGTATTAACAACTTACTCCACCACATGTTCCAGTTTTACAAACACTATTAACAGGTTGATGATCAGTAACACAAATGAAATTACAGAGATTACATCATCTACCCTGGCTCAACAGATAATACCTGTCACATGAACCATCATCAAATTTACGACACTGGGAAAATACATAAACATGTAAAGAAACTGACAGTTGACAAAAAACTGGAAGTGAAATTTTTTGTATGAAAGCAGAGATATTTATGCATGGGAAAGATTAATAATTGTGATAATCGCTTCATATCTTTTATATGACAAACATAACATATTTTGAAAACAAGTATGCATACTAATTTAGTAAATGATTAACATTATGCTGTTCTGTCCAACTGATATGCCTTGAAACTTTGTCATACCTACACAAACTGGATGCAATGCACAACATAAACTGGATAAGGGATTCTGAGCATCATCTAATTTCTTATATCTTTCATGGCCTAAATGCAATTAATGGCCAGCATTTATAATAAATATTTAAATATTTGATAATATGATATAAATATCAAAATTAGTTTAAGAATTTAGAAACAGAGTTATGGAAGAATGATTGTGCCTATTAGAGATACACCAAATTAAAACTTACATTATTGAGGACACATTCCAGTCTTGTTTCTGGCTCACCTGCACGCCAGACTCGCAAATAATCACCACTTGTTGCCAGCAGATCTGGGAACACTCCTTTCTGCCCACAAAAACATATGTGAACAAGCATAGTAGCCATTCAATAAGTGTAAACTGAATAAAATAGAAGTATTTAATAGTTCAATAGAAGAAACTGTAAAGAAAAATCATTCATTTTCATATTGTGTCAAATCTTTGCAAATTTAATTCTGTATATATTCCTTTAACTATACGGGTGACAGCTGAAGCTAGCAGGAAATCAACATGGTTTGTTAATCATCTGGCATAGTTCTGAAGAAAATAAACATTACATTATGTACAAGATGCATACAATATAGTCAAAGATTTAACTTTATTATCTAAGTGCTGCAGAATTTTTGGAAACTCTGTTTCACTACACAGCCACATTTCTACAATTCACATATCTTTTGTATTACTACAAGCTTCACAAACCTGGCTACATACAATCTTCCAAAGCCATCTGCAGCGAATGAACGACACAATGACTCTACCTGTTCTTCACGTTCACATTTCTGGACTTAAACTGTGGTTGCAGTAGCAACACCTGGAAAATAGTTTTTATTGTGTACAGTTCCTTTAAAAATATATGTGCCTAACGAAAAAATGCAGACTGTGTACTGCCAATTGCCAGGACCTGACGGCCAAGGCACTGCGTAAGCAAGTTGACTCTCTTGTGTATGCAGGGAGGCAAAGAAGGGAAAAGAAGAAGGTGCTAAGGTGTTTCTGTCACCCAGAAACCACATAAACATTAAAAAAAGAGCAATAAACATAGACGAGTTATGCAGAATATTATATATTATCGAATATTATAACAAAAGCAAATTCTCTGCTGTCAAAAGAGTAACATTTGCTCTTAGAGAAAAGAAAAATGTGCATAAAGATTCAATTCAGATTTTATTAATTCATTCTTATGGAACAGTTCAGTTCTGTTCTGTTCCTACACAGTCTGCTTCAATATCAGCTTCCTAATGCTGCCTCTGGTATACATGTGTATGCAGACAGCAAATTTGCAATACTGGGTTAACTCCCCATTGGTTCTCACAAAATATTAAAATACATGGTTACTACAAATGATTCATTCCATTTCAAAACACTATACTTTCTGAAGTAGTACACGTACAAATATGATTGATACATGAAAAGAACCATAAACTCACCAAATTACAAATGTTGTATGTATGCCCTGTTGGTCACACAACCAATGGTCATCGACAGTAGTTGAGTTCAGTCCAAACATTTTGCAGCACTCCCTTGTCAACGGTCATCACAGCAACATTAATGCGTTACCTGACCTCTACAACTGTTGTTGGCAGTGGGGGCATGTAAACATGGTCCTGCCAACCGGTGTATCACGATGTAAACTTGGTGAGTTTGTGGTTATTTTCATGTATCAATCATATTTGTATGTGTAATACTTTGGAAAATATAGTGTTCTGAAATGGAATGAATCATTTGTAGTAACCCTGTATACGAATCCCACTACAAATTATTGTATGCAACTTGTAATAATTGTGCAGGTTGTGATGATAATTTCATATGTGTATTCATTCTTTTCACTTCTGACTGTGGTGGCCTGGGTTCAATCCCAGGACAGTTCATGCAGGATTTGTGATGGACAATGTAGCACTGCAGCAGTTTTTTCTGAGTACTTCAGTTTCCTCTGTCGAGTCTTGTTCTACAAAATGCTCCATTTCTCCCATTTATCAATGGGCCATTTAGAGCCTAATACTGGAGGACTCAGTCTCATTGCACCTCAGGAATTTAAAGAAAAATAACTGAAAGCTAAAATTCATATTTCTGCCCCAAGATGTTGGATGTGTTACACCATTTCATTCCAAGAGTGACAGTATAAATATTGAATCCTTAAGTTCATTTCACATTCCTCATACAAGAAATGGACAGTGCCTGATTCACAGATTCATTTCGAAGCATTAAAAATCCTATATTCCAATGATACAATTATTAAGTAAATATGGGCATAATAATGTAAGCTGCAGCAAACTTTTATGTCGTTTCTACTTCCTTCATCTATTTAAATTTACTGCTTGGAAAAGTAGTTCTGTGCTTTAGCAGCATTGCCAACATCAGATCATATTTAGTATATCAGAACATGAAAGCAACTGTTATATGGGATGTGTTCTTGATAGTGATAGATCTGTTACCTTCTACATTTAATATTAAATACATATAAATTACATTTAAATAGAGTATCATAAATATTATACATATAAAAGATTATTAATGCCATCCAGTGTGATTGATAAATGTTGTTTTTTTAATCTTTCATTCTTTACATGTTTCAGTTGGAGCGACCATCTTCAGCATAACAACACAGCATGATCTGAACAACTGGACAATGACACTAGAGAGTCCTATTCTTCAAACAACGGAACCACAACAGGGAATACATTCATCTTCCTTAAAAAAGAAGTATAAAGACATGAACCAAACTGATTTCAGATGTTAACAAGTCTTTTATACAATACTTTGTAAATAGACTAATTATACTAATTTATAAATATTTTACCAAATTCATGCACAGCTTTGTAATTGTTAAAGCATATATTATTTTATATCTATAACATTGTAATAGTAGTTTCTGTATGTACTGATAATGACCTATGACACTGTAACAGTAGTTTCCGTACATATTGATAATGTCCTTCTGAAGATGGTCACTCCAATTGAAACATGTAAATGGTGAAAGATTCATACAATTACCAGTGTGACAGACCAGGATGAACCAAGTCAAATTTATTATACACATATTAGAAATATATTAATAATCCCTCTTTTAAAAGGTTAAAACATTTTTGACATATTGCTACACATTGGTGTGGCCTTTTTATACTCTATGTATCGTAAATTATGTTGTTTGGAGCAGTTACTGTCCCGCTGCCTGTAACCACTTATGTTCTTGAGGTCAGTTCCCTATTCACTTTGACTTCACAGCAGCACCAATGGTCAGAGCACTGCACTTGCTTCAAATTCTACTCGACTGTTCTGAACTGAAGTTTCATTGACTCAACTCTGCGCTGAACTGAGCCGAGGTCTAAAAGAACACCTCATTCTCTCTGCTGCTTTCTCCATTCATGTAGGCACAATACCTGCATGGAGGAATTTAAAATTTTCACATGATCTTCGTCTTTCTCATTAGCCAATCAGTTTCCTGAACATCCCAGATTGAATGAAGGGCATGCACAATCAACGCAATGTGATCCTACCATGCTCAGTTCCCACCATATTGCTCCTTCCAAGTAGCCCCCAGGTAGTGTACTAGCCACACCCATCTCCACCCCAGCATGTCACTGGATCCCGTGGAAGACATCACTGATCTGGGTGATCATCTTGTAACAGTCTTCCTCTGGTTCGGGTCAGATGATACAACCAGACTCAGTCTCCTTCCTGGAATTCTGCAGGGTTAGGTAGGTGATAATAGCAGGTTTTCATTCTTTCAACAGCCAGCTTCAGATGCTGACGAGCGTAATGCAGCCATTCTACAAGGTTGGTCCTGGACTACTCCTTGTCAGAGCAGGAAGCAGACTATCATCCTTTAGCTCCCTCTGGAGCACAGAGCATTATCAAAGTGCTGCCATCACATAGTTCTTGCTGACTTGTTTAATTTCTCCCCATGTCTTCCCAGCAGGCAAGGCTTCCTCTCGTATTGTTCCCTGCCAATTCCTCTTTTCTTTTGTTCTTGTGGGTTCCACTCCATATCCTCCTCCTTACTTGCATTTTCATTTTGAAGAGTGGCCAATCCACTTCCATTTATGTCTGGTTATTTGTTCACTTATTTTTATTTCACTTGTCTGCTCCATAGTTCACCATCTGTTGTAACTGACCATCTCACTGTCACTATTCTACAGTGCTATCAATTCACAAAATTTCGTAATTTTCTACATATTTACTGGGTGACTCACCATGTCTTACATCCATATAACAGAATTGATTTCACATTAGAGCTGAAAATTCTTTGATCTTATTTATGCTACTTCAAAATGTACATAAATATTGTCTTATACCTTGAAACTTGTTTGTGTATCCCATACAGTTGCACTCATAATTCAAGGTGACTATTAATAAAGAATAAATTATGTCAACACATTTTCATGTGTGTAAATGTACTCACACTGTCTGGTATCCACATGATTTTTGTGGTAGGATAAGGATGGTCAAATGTGCTCTTTGCACTGAACTCAGAAGTGTCTTCATCTAGTGAAACTACTTGTACCTTGTTGTTATACTCCTCAACAAAGCTACCCAAGGCAAGTCTGAAACAATACATATATGAAATACCACTGAGAAAGTATACACAGGAAAACAAAATTGTTTATGATAGCTTTAGACTGAAATATGACATACAACTGATTTTGGAAGACATGACTCTGTATTCATCAGAATTTGACTGTAAATGATATAAATGTAATATGGTAGTACTCACATTTTNAGGACATAAATTATATATAAGTAATGTAGAAAATTATTTATATATATACAATTGCAAATAGGAAAATACGGGGGGAAAAAATAAACTTCAAATAGTACAGAAATTGGGGAAACAACAAATTTTGATATGAAAAAATTACACGTCTTAACAGCCGTGTGTTAATTAGCGTACATTCTCACATATCAATGTTGAGTGAAAGCAAATACATATTATTATTATTATTATTATTATCATCGTCATCATCATCATCATCACCAATTCCTTTCAACTTTGTACTGTGATATTATGTAATGAACCTGAAATATTTTTTGGCTGAACTTAAACCTCAAATTACCTGAATCGTTTATCAGGGCGAACTGACCAATTCATGCTGTATAATGGCCAGGGAGCTTCATATTTATATATCTCTTTCCTTTTTGGAGGAGCTCCATGGACTGCCATTGTTAAGGCCCTCTGTAGTGGCTCTGTAACATTCACATTAAATTACATTGGTTGCAATCTGTCATCCAGTTGCCCTCACCCTCTTGTCACGGTTGGCAAAATTCATACAACTTCCTTCTGGCTGAAGAAAAACAATCTAACAGTGTATACATGCTAGAACAGTTCCAATTACTGAGATGATATACTTTTACGCAAACAGAACTGTGCTCAAGGATGTGTCACAGCTCGCATGGTTAGAGACTGGTTTCAGAACATTAGAGTGGTACACATGCAATAGAGGAACACGTCAAATCCACTATGTCAAACAACAATAGAGAAGGGGTTGTAAGCAGTATTCTCTGTGGGTCTGCTCTGAGGCCATACGACTTCACTGACCAAGTTGGTTGAGCAATCAATTAGGGGACTGCTGCAGGTCGATTGCTGTTAACCGTTGCTGTCTGATGCTGGTAGATGAGGCAGGGGGCTAGTCTGAGAACATAGAGTAAGGGTAAAGTCCACCACTGGAAGCTGCTACCAACAAACAGCTAGTGGAGACTGTAACAGACTGAGAACACTAGTCTGTGTGTCATACTGATTTGTGAAGTGTAGCAACAAGTTGTATCTGTGTGCAATAAATCCAATTACCTAACCAAACCCCAACTATAGTCACTCTATCATGTGACAATATGATTATTTCCCATTTCCATCTTCACTCAGCATGCAACTAGCCCTTTTCAGAGCCCAAATGAGGTACCATTTCCTTTGCTGAGTTCCCTTTGAGACAATGGTCATTTTTCCTCTGACTCCCTCACAGTTCCCTTCAGGCTTGGACTGGCCTATATTAGGCCAGATTTTCCACGCACATTTCAGTCAGCATATTACCTGCCTCTGTGGTTTCATTTTCCTGTCTTACTCTCAAACCCTAAGGATGGGGGGAATATGTTCCTCTAACATATCAGGCTCTTTATGAACTACATGATATTACAACCCAGGAAACCATACTCTTCACGCTAAAGAATGGTTTCTGTTATGTGAGCTGCATCTTACAGAAAGGTATTCAATTACAGAATATTTGGAAAATAGTAAGTCTAAACAGATATGTCTGAGGAAGAACTAACACAACACAACTGGTAAAATGACCAACATATCTTAATCTTTCATGTTTTATAAAGTGGACAGTATTTTAACTACAAAATAACCATTTTTTTCAGCTTATACTACACATTACTTTCACTGTGAACTAATTTTTGTCTGTATTATTGTGAACAGCTACTTAATATTTAGAAATTTTCTCAAATGACTTACTGGCCATACGAATGTTAAGGCTTCATTACACAGCATTCTCATATACTTAGTTTATCAACATTTACTTCTAGACTAACTTATTTGTTAGCTTGTGCAACAATTTCATCGTTGTTCATTACAACATTTACAATTTCATGTACTAAATCCATACTATCAGTATATGCAAGAACACAATTTGAGCCATTTAACTGCTGATCTCTTGATTATCTTGGTCATTCCTGCTTATGCACAGATGATAAGCCGCAATAAGTATGATACTCCTTTAACCAGTCACGAACTGCAAATGAATCAGGTAAATGTAAGATTTGAGGTTTTCACGGCGGTGACTATGAAGAAACCAGTCTTCTGGGATGTGGCACTGTGTAGATGTGGTATTAACCGACGTTTTGGAGGCATGTATCGCCTCCATCTTCAGGTACAAGCAGACTGCTTGTACAGGTTCTCATGGTCTCTTCGCTCGCAGATTTCTTATTTTCCTTCTACCCTGAAGATGGAGGCGATACGTTCCTCCGAAATGTCGGTTAACACCACATCTACACAGTGCCACATCCCAGAAGACTGTTTTCTTCAATCAGGTAAATGTTCATCTCCATGAATTTCATTACCTTATCCAATTAACGAAATGGTACTCGTACCACTGTTCCAAATATGTCAAGTAACATGAAAAGCCTCTCTACCTGAATCACATTTCAGTCACTTGAATGGTAGATCCAATAACAGCACACAAAGTCATAAATATGTCTTCCACTAATATTAAGTGTAATTATATATTTACAGCATTAAATATTTTGTTAAAGTATTCAACCTCATTTATCACATACATACCTTCACACATCTAACTTGTGTATCAATGTTTAACTCAGTCATACTAACCCATTGGATTTCTGGATCACAATGTGCTATTAAAATGAATGAATGTATCAGCTCTGAATGTACTGTCATGGAGTGACCCTATAAACAAAACAAGGGACAAAATAAAACCGTGGTAATCTGTCAAACTAAGAAATCTGGTAAAATACGTTGGTTTGTAAGGGGAAGGACGGTGAATTTCTGAGTGAAAATCAATCACTTGTGAATGTGTACCCGAACAAAGTTCCAAAACACACAACCATGCAAAATATTGTATAACTCAACTACTAATTACAATTTTTCACCAGTGCTCCAAGGGGAGCTGATGTAGCAACTGGTTACAGGCTGGATGACTGAGGTGTTGGAGTTTGAGTCCTAGTAGAGTCCAGAATTTTCTCTTCTCCATGTTATCCAGACTGCACTGGGGCCCACCCAGCCTCCTATCCAATGGGTACCGGGGGCTCTTTCCCCAGGGTGAAGAGGACGGGGCACGAAGCTGACCACTCACATCCAACCAGTGCTGAGGTTACGAAAATGTGCATCTATACAGCCCCTCCCCCATATGCCTCCACGTCACAGTGCTTATAGTTCAGCATAGGGGCAACTTTAGTTTTTTTTTTTTTTTTTTTGCCAATGTTTCATGTTTGTATATATTTCTGATAATGATACCGCTGCGGAAAGTATGACATGGATTACTTCTTGGCTGTCTATGGTGGAAGTAGGTAAAGCAGCATGCATAGGATTATATGTTTCTGCTGGCCTTCAAAAATTAGTTACAGTCTTACGAGGTTAAAAAATTATCAAAACATATTAACCCTCAAAATCCTTCTTTTCTGAGGACAATGTTGGGCCAAAGGACTACATTTCAGCTGGATGTCACATATTAGAATTCTCATTCCTTTACATTAAACACACATTTTGTTCAGTTTCTATAGGCACCTAGCCTTCGATTGGTGTTGTCACGATATTCTTAGTTATATCATCAGTTCTGATCTGAAATTGCAGACAAGTCTGTCCTGATGGTGTGCAATATAGTACTTTGCTCCTGCGCTCAACATTAGGCTCCAAGGGATTAAAATGACTAAACAGTTTTAGTGCATTATAAATACCACCACATTACCAACTTACACTTACACGTAATGTTTAAATGAGAACAGGTATATGTATATATCACAAGTAAAACTGACCAAATGAGTAATGTCAGCACATTACATCTTGCAAGCAAATTCCTGGAACAATCCTCAATGTTCCCGAACATTACATGTCGCATACACACAAATTCAAACTTAAGCTTTGGCCTTGACCCACATTACAAGTGGGACTTAACACTTTACTTTTTATATGCAGTTCATTAAATTAATATTTATGAAGAAATAGAATGTTTTCTTGCTACTTCTAAGCAAATACTGTTATGTCAAACACTGAAGACTGTGACAGTTAATTATATGGAATAAATCATTACATTACGTTATATCTTCACTTATGGAGGTAGCAAAGAATGCGAATGAGCTTACAGAATCATGATAAACAAACACTACTCACATAATGATGGTTATACAATTAAATACAAGTAATTCATTAACCTATGGCCCAAGATAGTAAAAAATCCATGTAGCATTATTTTCTAGACAGAAAAGAAAGACTTGGGGGGAAAAAATGAAGGCAGAACTTCATAAACAATGGAGAGTTAAAGCATGGTATTCATTTCTGTCTCAACCCGCCCCCCAAATGAAATTCTTACTAATCCCTCATGTATTATTCCGTCACACAAACTGGTACTTATGCATTAAGGGGGTGATACAAGTAACTACAATTTCCTGACACATCATTGTTGAAACTATCGAATCAAAGTTCCGGTACACTTATTACCACTATGGAAAAAATCACTGAAGAAGGCACCATTGTCTATTCAGATAGATGGTGTGGGTCCAAGATGAAGAATTTGGATATTGTAAATACCTGAAAGCTAGTAACAAGCACAACTTCAGTCTATCCAGCAGGTGGCATGCACAATCAACATGTGGAATGTATGAAGAGATGGGGCAAATGGTGTAACAAGAAGAACCAGGGCAACAAGCATTACTATCTGAAGTCTTAAATGGACAGCACTGTGTTGCAGAGGTAACAACATGGATCCTACTGATGCCATTTTGTGAACAATCAAACAACATTGGCTACCAGAATTTGAAATTCAGTTTTCCTTGTTCTAATTTTCTTCCCTGAATGAAGACACCATTAATGCATAAGCAGCCAAAATTCAAAGGAACATGGAAAACACCACTGAGAGAAACCACTTTGGAAACAAAGGCACATGTGAGATTTCATACTGCATCTAAGAGAAACAGCTCAGGAAGATGTGATGATTCTTGAAAACCAAACAATCATTCAGATAGTGAAAAAACTACAAACCTCTCATATCACTCCAGATTCATTATCATACTCATAACAACCCACTACTGGTCCTATCCTGAGCCAAATGAATATTGCCCACTTCCTCAAACCCAATTTCATTCAGATCCACTTTAATACTATGACAGGATGTCTGACATCCGTAAGTTTCAGACTCCTGGACCTGCATGAGTATCAAAGAGTCATTCATTATTAGTTAGCTGACAGAAACCCAAATCCCCACCACCAACAAATTATTATTGCTGAGGAGCACCTCACCTAGGTAGTCTGCTGCAAGAAGCCAAGAGGCTACAACAGATGCAGTGCAAGTCATTATTCTTGTTATGTCTGCGTTCAAGCCTGCCACCTCGGTGCAAGAAGGGACTGAGGCGAAGAAGCTGCTGAAGGTGGAGAGTAAGCAAAGGAAACTGAGAGGAGTCGTCAAATGGTTAACAGAAAAAAAAACCTGTAGATGCTTACAGATAGTTACAAATAAAAGATTTCAGTCCCAAATAAATCCTCTCACTATGAGAACCCATGGCATACAAAGTTCCATGTGACACCAACTTCACACATTAGACAGTGGATTGGAAATGGGTCCCACATGACAACTGGTTACGGACAGGATTATGGGCACACTGGAATTCCTACAAAGTGGCCAAGAAAGAAATGCAGGCTGGCCATGAGAAAATGAAGGCCAGCAAAGAAGAGATGACACTCACAATAAGTGTTTGCCAAGAAAAGATTGGCCACCCAGGATGAAATGAAAGCCACAGTAGTGCCATCTGGTATGACCAAACCAAATTGAGGAAACCATCAGCAAATGGGTGGAGGGCATTCTGGAGTCTGACAATCAGTATGCCCAGAGCCTGTGAAAAACTCAAAACAGAGGTCCAACAGATACAACACAAAACAAAAGAGATGAAGACACTGGCAGTGGCCACATGGCTGAGTTCACAATGCAGCTGATGCAAGCCAAAGTCTGAGTACAGTGTGAACACAGGAACAGACATATTTGGGGTAAAGTCACTGAGGTTCAATGGGTCCATGTCCTAGACTGTGTTTTATTTCTAGTTCAAGGCTGTGGCAGGGCAAAACAATTGGACAGCCCAGGAGAAGGCCATGTACCTATTCACCACCTTGCACAGACATACTGCTAGCGTTCTGCATGACATCCCTGCAGAAGCGAAGTAGGAGGAAACTGCTGAGATGCTTCAGGACTGTTACAGGGACTACTAACTGGCCTCAGCCTATTGTTTCTGAGAGCCAGGACCCAGCTCACTGGCCAGCCTCTCAAATAGTAAGCTGCCGCCATCAAGCAGTTTGTCCACCAAGCCCAAGTCAGGCTATCTCAACACTACATCCAGAGGGAAGCAGCCTATGCATTTGTCAAAGGGATATAAGACAGATATCTGAAGCAACAATTTTCACACGTGGTAACACAATGCTTAATCAGGCCCTCAACCAGGCTGTAAAACTGGAAGTTGGAAATTTGGTGAGTGAAATACCATCAAGGCTGCAAGTTTAACAGCTGAAGTCCCAGTGAGAACATGGGTTGCTGGGGGCTGAGTGCCACGCAACTGGGTGACCTGTATGTTGACAGTGAGGCCACTGACCAGACGGGCTGCTCATAGGAACATCCTGAGGTCCTGCCTCACAGGTCAACCAGGACCTGAGAAATGAGTAGGGAATGAAGTGAACAAGTGCTGGTTAAAATCACCCCTGCATTCTTGAGAGTGAGACGAGGAATGGGTATAGGATATTGGTGGGAATGCCAGAAGGAAAGAGACTACAGGGAAGACCAAGGCATAGGTGGGTGGACAATATTAGAATGGATCTTAGAGAGATAGGATGGGATGGTATGGATTGGATAGATCTGGCTCAGGATAGGGACCAGTGGAGGGCTCTTGTGAACATGGTGATGAACCTTCAGGTTCCATAAAATGCTGGGAAATTCTTGAGTAGCTCCTCCAGAAGGGCTCAGCTCCATGAGTAAGTAAGTAAGTAAGTAAGTAAGTACATGTTTTTCTTTACATGAAATGACCCTATTCCCTCACAGCATTCCTCTACAGATTTGTGGGTAATTATACATCCAGTCAAGGAGAAAACAGCCATAGTACACTTAAGAGTTATCCACACAATAAACAATGAGAGAGAGAGAGAGAAAATGTGTTAAAGTAAACTACTGAGAGTTCACCAAGCGTACTTTTTCTGAATGTGAAGATCCATGAAAGACAGTGTATGTGACATGTTCCTAATCATAAAACGTGTCAAGATTGTCAGAATCACCACAAAACCAACAATAGCTAGCAAACATAAGCCCAGAAATCACAATATTTACACCATATGACTCGATTATTTTAAAACATTCCGCTAGAAGAGGGAAATAATTGGCGGTTTACTGTAATAACGCAACTACATGGTTGATGCTGGTGCTCGTTTCGAATCTGGGCCGGTACAATCATCCTGACGTTTTCCCCACAGTCCCTCTAAACAAACGCCGGCGTATTACTTCAAATTAGGCGACGGCTTCTTCCTTCAACACTCTTTCCAATTCATTATTCACTATTAACCAGCTATTCAACCTTATATAGATACTTACTGACAGCGTTATTAAATAAACTATAAAAATATAACATAAAGACAGTACAGCTCCTAATTCCGCACGCACACTCTCATATATACAAATAAGATTACAAAACATCCGTTCTCGAACAGAGGTCTAGAATAAAATTACAAATATCAGAAATGTACAATTAAAAATTACTAACTTCACTACATCAAACACACCATGTATCTTAAATTGAAAGCCAGTGTACTCTTTACCTTCAAGCACTCGGCACACAAGTTACCAAAAGTCAATTTAAGGCCGAAGTACTAAAAACAAACCATTAATACGTTCACAGTCCACGTACACTTGTTTCACGTGTTGTGATCGCAAATAAAATACCATCACAAACACATAACGATCCTACTCAGCTCTTTCTCCCATTACCCTTACTTCCATAACCACAACCGTCATTAAATATCCTACCGTTCCGACGGTGACGGCCATTTTCAGCATGACGACCATGACCGTCCCTGACCAACCCCCTGAAACTCCCATGTTATTGGTTGGCAACATGGCCGCCATGACACCTCGGTGCAATGCTGCTGCCATCTATTTCCAGCTTATATGAACTAAATTTGATTTGTTTCATTCTGGTCCGTCACACTTACTTACTTACTCACTCATGGAGCTGAGTCCTTCTTCGGGAGCTGCCAATTCTGCGNGAAGCTCCTCATTATGCAGTTTTCTCCAACCTCCTGTGATTTCATCTCTCTTTGGTCCAAATATTCTCCTCAACACCGTTCTCAAACACCCTCAGTCTATGTTCCTCCCTTAATGTCAGAGACCAAGTTCCACACCCATACAGAACCACAGGCAAAATTATAGTTTTGTATATTCTCATTTTTATGTTTTTGGACAACAGACGAGAAGACAAAAAGGTTCTGGACTGAATGGTAGCAAGCATTACCAGAGTTCAATCGCCTCTTAATTTCCTCCTGAATCAGGTTTTGATCTGTTATCATTGTCCCCAAATATCTGAACTGTGCCACATTTTCAAAACATCTGTTTCCTATCTTTATGTCATGATTTTGCCCTGCATTTTGGTGATGAGACAGTAACATATACTTAGTTTTCTCTGTGTTTACTTCTAGACCAACCTCTTTACTTGGGTCTGTCACGCTAACAATTATAAATACAAACCACTCCATCCAATGTGACATGTAAGTTCTTACTATATGAAAACTTATCTCCCTTACATGTTTCAGTCCGTACGGACCATCTTCAGAGGGAACATCATTACAAACTGGAAACTACCATCACAATAGGTGTTTTTGATTTAAAATATATACACTTATATTCTATAATGCACAGTATGCATAAAGTCAAACATTTCACAATCACAGCAGCTTCCTGGTATTGTAAAGTTTTTAAAGTTTCTAGATGTTAATTTAAAAAACCTTCGTGACTAGTTAAAATTTTTTTTTAAAACCACGTAGGTTCGTGTCCATACTCCTATCGTCCTTCTTGTATGGGGAAGATTTTGTGCCGCCTGTCTATCTTGATGTCATCCAGGGTTTGCTCCTGGCTTGCTGTCCACAACATGGACAAATTTTCAAGTGTTCATTCCTTCTGTAACTTGGGAGCGTGCTCTATTTTTATTCATCTGGCAAGAATGATGAAAATTGCAAAAAATTAGAGACCCTAAGTGAAGTTCAAATCAGATACTCCTTGAATACAAGTCTAAAGTAATAACAACTTCCTCATTTCTGTGCATGGGAAAGAACACAAAAGAAGCAAAAGTGTTTTCAAATATTACAGTCTAAGAGCATTTTATATTCTCTTTTGTAAAATTTAAATAGATCTGCTTAGAAGTTTAGGATTTTACTTACACAAGTTGTGTGTTGGATTCTCTTCTCTTCTGGCAGAGCAAATATTACCAGAAATAGACAGGTCAACCAGCCTGTGAGAAGTGGAACTGGTTTGGCTAGTGGAAAGACAATAGGCCAAACTGCTATGCACAACATCCCAATACTCCGAAAAGAATGGTAGAAGAAAGACACAACCTTGAAATATGAACACACATTTTAATAATATTTGTTTTATTTCATTATCTTCTTCAGACACTTTTAGCACTTACATAAACATGTACATCTGTATGGCAAGAATCTGTACACAGTACTATTTTTAACACCTATTACATAATAATATAAATTTTGGACGCATTGACGTATATTGCAAGATGTAAGACTACTTGTGCTATAGAACTCTGATTGCTTGGTGCAGGAGTAACAACATGTTAAAAGTAAACATGACTATTTCTTTGGACATCTCCCAACACAGCCAGTGTTTTGAAAGACAGTGTTTCATAACATGGATCTACATTCATTACCCGGTGTAAGGACTAGCTCCAATCACTGGACACAGAAAGAAGTCCTTAGCATCTATTGACATCTATTTAACTTCCTTATGCTTCGACAGATCACAAGATACACCGGAGAGTGTTCCATTCGAGTAACAGTTTCAGGTTTTCTTCTTATTTAGCATGAAACACTATCAAGAACTTACTTTTTTAATAACATACAGTATCTCTGACACTAAATGTCAACAAAATGAAATATTACATAGCTTTGGTCACTAACTCTACAAAAGAAACTGATACATTTTAAACACTGCACCTCATCAAGTTTCTTATGTGCTCAGTAGATCTCAATATGGGTACTATTAGTGGCATGACACATTTCAAAGCAATATTCTGTTTCTCATGAGGTACTGGAAAGTATGTCGTTGACAACACATACATCCCCCACCCCCAAAAAATATAAGAGAGTACGACCTGGAGAAGAAGTGTCCCATGAAATTGTGCCCCAAGTTCCTATGCAATGATAGTGCACCACACTATGATGATGTAATGAGAAGTGGAGATATAGCTACATCATTCTTGACCTTGGAACTAGACGTAGATGAGCAGTCAGCTTCATAGCCCAGCTGCTTCACCTCCTGGGAAAGAGCTCCCAGTACGCATTGGATAGGTCGAGTGGGCCCCAGAGCCAGTCTGGATGATGTGGGAGAGAAAAATCCCTGTCCCTGTTGGGAATCGAACCCAGGCCATCAAGCCCACAGCCACCTGCTATACAAACTGAGATATCTGCACTCCCACCAGCCAGATCAGTTCTCCAAAAAAGAAAAGACTGATGATGTTTTACATCATGGTGCACCATACGTTGACATTTGGTGAATAATGCTCATGTTCACTAACTGCAATATATGGCAGCCGTGCATGTTGACGTCCACATACATGAAACACTGCTTCATCAGGAAACAAATTTGCTGAGATAGGCCATGTCATGTCTGATATGGGAAACCAATTCTAAAGCAGACTGTTCTCTCAAATCCTGATCTGTGCATGTCGTCTTCCGGACCAAGTCAAGCCTGTAGGCACGAAATTTCAGACCTTCATACAAAACATGATGCACAGATCCACATGCCAAGCCTAATCCTAAACTTGCTTGGTAAAGAGACTTGCAAGGGCTGCTCTGACATGTTTTGTGTCTTGGGTCACCATAAAATGTAGGGGCCCATTCTGTTGCAAGGCACTATGTGCTCTTTCAGGTGCTTGTCTAAATGCATCACAGCTGTGTATATCAGCATTACTTGATGTGGGTACATCTGATAATACGGGCACACAATTTAAACTCTGCCAACTGAAGAATGCAATCCACTTTGTGTCACACAGACTACTTCTTCTCTTCAACTGAAGAAAGATGGGGCAGTATGGATCTCCTATACATGCATAAGCATACAGAAGGTGACTTGATCAAGAAGGAAAATGATTTCGAGAATTACCACACTACATGTAAATGTTAGAAGCATAATGTCTGTTTTCATTTTGCGTATAGAATATTTTATCTTACTGACATTTAGGGCTGGATACCCCGTAATGTAACAGGGTACAACATTAACATGATCAAGACATGGCTAAGGATCATATAAGGCATAAATAGTCATTACTTACAAGTATTTCAATTCCTATAACAGGGTAGACAAAGAACATTAATAACCTTCGTAGACCCATTGAGCTCCTGACACGAGATACAGCTGCCATACGTGCAGCCCAGTGTCGAGCTACAGCCCACCAGATTAACTCGGGAAACAGAGTATATATAGAACTGAAGGGGTAACATTTGTATTGGAAGAAAAAGCACAGTTTACATTAGTCTAAATTGAGTCTTCAACAAAGTTGATAAGACTGAAAAACACTGGATTAAATATGAATTATGGACAATATTACAATTTTATTTACTGCAAGTCAGACCCACAGTCAGAATAAATAGGAACAAAAAGGCAATGTTCACCCAGCAGCCCCATCTGAATAGTCTAGAATGAGTGAAGTTCAACAGCTCATGCTCCTGATATACTTCATGTTGGACATGAAGAAATTAAGGGCTCTTTTTATGACTGCTGTCATCACCAACTAGGGAGTGAAGAAGCAACAATCTGGAAACAGAACATATAATTAAATATTTTCCTGTGATAGTTCTCTTGGGATTTTGAAAAAGAACCAAGATAGAGGGAGAATAATATATAAAACTTCTGGTGGGAAGCCACTGCACATACTTTTTTATGTAAAAGTTCAGGCCACTGGAGGGTGTACCATTCTTTTCCTGATGACATAACCTATGCTGTTTTATTTAGGGAGAAGATCTCCAAAATTACTGAAATTTAATGAAAACTGTTCTAATTGTTTTTCAGAAAATTGGAATTTTGTTTTTTCGATCTATCTGAAGGGCCCCTACTTTTGGAGCTAGGGTGTTCATATTCATTGGGCACTAATCTACAATGGACACACTCATAAATATCTAGCATCTGAAAAAAAAATTGTGTATTCTAGGGAGCTGAAAATGTGTATACCCATCAAAATCTTGGGGCTATTTCTTTTTCACAACCAGATTACTTTGTCAGTAAGTGCTACTTGCATGATAAACTAAAAATCGTAGAATTGAAAGATAAATTAATAAATTACAGACTAAGATGGTTAAGACAAGTTTTATAAATGAATAAAGAATCATAACATGAAAATTGGAGGAAAATTACCAAAATAAAGACCAAGATGGGTACAACACATTAAGAACAATGTCACACAGAAAAAAGGAAGACTATAGAAGGACAATTATGAGGAGTTTCAGGAAGGCAGAGATACACAGAGGCTTAGGTGTGAGAAAACCCACAGAAATGTGGAATCATTGCAGTAAGAAGCAATCCTGAATGGAGCTTGGCTTTTCATATGATGGTCAGTTGCTAATTATAATTCATCAGTAAATATAACCAAAACCAAAACTCTTAATTTTTTAAACTTTAAAATTCTTACTTACTTACTCGGCCGCACCATAGCTCAAGTGGTTAGTCGCTGGCTTCCCACCGCGGTGGCCCGAGTTCGATCTCGGGTCTGGTCAAGTGGGATTTGTGGTGGACAAAGTGGCGCTGAGGCAGGTTTCCTCAAAGTGCTTCGTTTTCCCCTGCCAATCTTCATTCCACCAACTGC